TTGTTCTTTTGTGGGGCTAGCAATCATCAAATCATCCACATAATTAATCAAAACAGTCCCGTCTGTCAACACAAGAGACGCTAGACTGTGGTTCAGAGCCTCACAAAACAACGAGGGGCTTGAGTTTAGGCCCTGACAAAGTCTGGTAAAAGTATATCTTTTTCCATTAAAACAGAAGGCAAACCAAAATTGTGAATCCCTGTCCACAGGTACAGAAAAGAAAGCATTTGATAAGTCCACTACAGAAAACCACTCTGCATCTGCTGGTATCTGACTCAAAAGAGTGTGTGGATTAGGCACATTGGGAACAGGAGAGATGATCGCAGCGTTCACAGCCTTCAAGTCTTGCACAAAACGCCACTCTGTAGGTTTATCTGCTGGTCTAATTTTCTTTACCGGGAAAATAGGTGTCTGCACTGGGGAGTCCTCACATGGGACAATAATGCCAGCCTCAAGAAATGATTCAAAAACAGGTGTAATTCCTTCTATGGCCTCCTGTCTCAAAGGATACTGACGCTGCCTCGGTCTATAATCAGATTTAGCTTCAATACGAACAGGTGGACAGTTTTTGATCAAACCAACATCATGTTTACTTTTTGCCCACAGACTGTCCGGTACTTGTGACAACAAAGATGAAATCTCAAGCGGAGAAGTCAAACAAGTCAGAGTCAAATTTGGTCCGTCATTGTTATCATATGAAGACGTCAAAAGCACTGAATTTAGCACATCAACTGTCTTCGTATGAGACATTTTATACGCGCAAACGGATTGTGAATAAAACACATTTTCTCCACGTTCACACGCCTCCCAGTCCTCTGCCAAAGTACATCTGCGTACAAAAAGGGCTAAGGTTTGCCATGTGTCAGTCTTTGCTTTTGCTATTGAAATATGAGGACTTGAATTTTGAAGACGATAGCATTGTTTTTGCGACTGGCTTAACTCTACTGAAACAGCACACTTGGAATCATCAAAGTACACGTCAGCAATAATCAGTCATTTGAGCCCATTTTAAACGTTTCTTCAAATTCACAATCAGGGCTATGGTGTAAATGACACACACAATGCAAGTCCTCAGCTTTCAATATATCAGATTTTGGATTAAGAAATGGAGAAACCACCCCCATTAAATGACTCGCGCTGGCAGTATGAAACCACCACTGATATACAGACATAAGACAATTTGTGTTTACTTTGACAAAATTAGTTGCGCACGCACCTCTGTCTATTTTAAGGCCTTCTGCTGTCGATGTGATCACAACTTCCCATTTTATCATTAAATCACGGCCTAACAAGTTTACAGGACAAAGGTCAGACATCAAAAATGAATGTTTTGCTGTTGCTGGGTTACGCTCGTTTGCCCAAGTGCATTTGATCGGAACAGAAAAAGATTCCGGTACCGTTTGTCCACTCGCACTTGTGGAAAAAACACTTCTGCCACTTAATTTGATTGAGAGCTCCTTTGTCTGAATCACACTGTGGGTTGCACCAGAGTCTACTAAAAAAGTGATCGGTTTACCCTCAATTTCACAAACAATAGTTGGCATTTTTCTGTAAGCTTCATTTTCATAAGCTAAGTAGGTCCCTGTGTTGGGCCTGTCACCGCTCTCTAACTCCCTAATTCTATCCTCAATTAAGCCAAGCAGTGAATCAGTGGCAAGCGCGTCTTCATTGCAGTTAGCAGTTAGTGTGTTGTGTGTAAGAGTGTGTGCATTACTCATCTGTACAGGTGCTGTGTCAGATCCCACGTCAACCAGACATCAATCTGAAGAAAATCTCTGCTGGTCCTCCGGTCTCGCACCCCGTCCACGTCCACTCCAGCGTCCCGCATCTCGGCGTGGCTGGGGACAGTCACGATTCCAATGTCCAATTTTCACCACAGTTGAAACATTTGTCCTGGTCGTCATGGACACGATCGTTCCCGAAATGTCCGTGGTCACGATTGTTCTCGAAATGTCCGTGGTCACGATTGTTCTCGAAATGTCCGTGGCCACCTCTTCTCCGTCCTCTACCTCCACGACCTCCACGACGGAATTGTCTGCCTGTCATTTTGATCAATGTGAGATTGGCCTGATGTTGTGCCGTCTCCTGCGCGCCAGTTTTTACAGCGTTTTCCTCAGTGTTCTTCATTTCAGCATGCTTTGCGTGTCTGAGGATTTCCGGGATGCGATTATCCTGCCAACCTCCCACCAAAGTCTGTTTTAGTGCGGCTTGGATCGGTTGGGGAAGGCCCTCGCAGAACGCCATCTTAAAGATCACCTCGAATGTGGTCTCAGCTGCGGCAGTGTAATTATCTGGCTTTTGACTACCAGAGTGGGCAACGCACACATCCTCAAGACGATGATAAAAGTCCACAACTGACTCACTTGTCTTTTGAGAGCAGTCTTTAATCTTTCCCATATCAAATTTCACTGGGAACGCACGCTTGAGAGCTGTCACTATGTTGGCCACATATGTCTCCCATGCATTCGCCTCTGTCCATTCCGCCTGCAGAGCTCGCAAAGTCTCATAATTCTGTCGATGGACCGCCGGCTCTATCTTGGCGAAGCCCTCCGGTTTTAAATACAGGAGGAGAAGCTTTTTAACTTCAGCGCCCGTAGGACGCCATGCTTTGCAAAAGGCCAGAAATGCGTCTGCCATCGAATCACCCCCGCGGTGGGGAGAAGGCCAGTCTTTGACAGAGTCTTTCATCTCCTGATCCATTTGACGCAGAACCAGAACGGGGGTTCCCTCGGGGCCAGGGTATTCTATCATAGGTGCTTGTAAAGTCTTTCCATCTCTCAGCGTCATGCCATTGTCATTTAGAGTGATTTTGCCCAGACCATGTGTCACAGAGTGGGTTGGAGAGATTGGAGAAGGAGCAGTTTCTCTGTGTCCTGCTCCAGACAGGAGGGGAGGGGCTGATGCAGAAGCCTCTGGGGCAGGCAAGAGGAGCACCGGAGGGAGGGCAGCTGACGCTGCTGCTTCTGCTGGTGCTGCAGGTGCCGCTGCTGCAGGTGCCGCTGCTGCTTGATACCGGGGGGGTGAGAGAGCGGAGTACAGCGGGGTCCAATCATCTGTGGAGTTCCTACGGTCGTATTGACGTGGGATCGGTGGTATGCTCGAAAAAAAAGCAGATGGAGAAGTATCAGTCGCAGATCCTATACATTGTTTCTGTCTACTTTCCCTAAGCTTTGCCTCAGTCATCCACGCATTCAGCCACCGTCTGTTCTACAAACACTCTAGGAACAAATAGTACAATAATAATAATTAGTGCTGTCAATTAAAAACCTTAATAACGGCGTGATTAATGCAAGTGTCTATTATGACTGAAAGTTGCATCCAAACGTTAGTGCTAGTGATTTCCACTGCATGTGATAATCATATGCATCGTAAAAAAACCCCCATCAGATTTGAATGAAAACATAAACAAAAGATTAGCCTTTATTAGACAGTGCAAGTCATTTGTACTGTTTTAAATGTCTATTCACTGTGTAGGAGGCAGATCAGGGTACACTGGAGGTTTGCAGCTATGCATGTGTGTGGCTCCACAGGAGGGGGCTCATGAGGCAAGTGCACAAGAACGAGTGGGGTTAAAAGTGCACGTGAATCTGTCAAACAAGTCATGAATCATGGCTGAGTGTGTACCCATATTTTTTGTTGACCGTTTGCTGCACTATTTACGTTAATAAATCACTTTAAGACTTCTTTAACATAGGCTTCAAAATGTGTCTACATATTTACACGACCCACTCTGACCAGCTCAGCAGCTCAGGTCTGCAGTTAGCCACAACACACTGTAAAAACCAATAGCAGAGATTGAATATCTGTAGTCGCCTTTCCACCGCAGCAGTTCCTGGTAAAAGGAGGGGAGTGGGATATCTACAGGAATCGTGCTCTCACTCGGCCCCTCTCAGTGGTAGGACCTCTCAGCGACGTCATGAGTTTCGATCGCTGGGTAATAAATTGTTATTTACTTTACAGTCGGAACCGCTCTGGTTGTTGTGGTCTTTGAATATTTTATAGTCCTAAACTTTTCACAGTATTGATTTTGAGTGTGATGGAACCCCAGTTCATTGTGTTGCGCTGATATGTCTTATATCTTTTCATTTCGCCGCGATGCCTCAAACCCCATCTGAATTTCTAAGGTGCTGTAGAAGGCAATTATTTGCCTGCAGCTCATCCTCCGTTCCTTTATTGTACATCTTTCTGTTGTTTGTTGTTGTTTCCACTGGGTTCTAATAGGCTAATGTTGCTGGATTTTAAAAATGTCGGTTTTGGTGCTTTCTGCTAGCGTCAGAGCCTGATCTAGCTTTAGCCAATCAGCGCTGCGTGAACCTCAAGCTCCACCCAGGAGCTGTTCACGGGTCAGTTGGTTCCCGTTAAAGTTCCTGTAAACGGCCCTGTGGGAGAGGTTCCTGCAGTGGAGAGACACACCAACAGGGCTGGACCTGTAAAATAATAAAAGGGGATTTTGCTTTGTCCAATCTCTTTTAAAATCAAATAAAGGGAAATTGCAATTTATCGCAATTTAAGATTTATATCATTTGACAGCACTAATAATAATCCATTGGTATGTGTAACCTTGTGTGTAGGGCTGGACAATATATAGAAAAATATTGTTATCGCAATATTGATGCATGCGATATCCATATAAAAAATATATATATATTTTCTTTTATTAAAAACAACAAAAACAGACGCATCAACATTCAACAAAAACAACAAACAAACAAAAAAGTATATAGATATATGCATTTAAATGTCATTAATGTTGTGCTTATTTTTTTGTTATTTGTCTCTTGCGTTTCAGTGCAGATTGCAATTTTAGGCGAAAGACAAAAATATTGCACAAATATAAGGCTAACTCTTTAGACACACTGAGACAGTCCACTTCTAATATTTGTGTTGGCAAATTCAACGGTTGTGTAAAGTCCTCTGAGAAACCTACTGTTGTGATTTAGGGCTGCACAAGAAAACATTGAATTGAATAATGTATGGATGAACCCTGTGTTTTCCTGCAGACTGTTCCTGAGATGCCTCCTAAACCCGGGGAGCTCCGCACCGAGCTGCGAGGGTACAGACTGAGGGAGGAGGCTCGCGCTGCGCTTGAGAAGATCAAGAACGAACACAAACTGGACTGAAAACACACCCCCTGCCCCTTCTGTCTGTGTGCTTTGTTTTCAAACTCATTACGGTGACTAATCCTGGGACTGTGACGTCACGGACAGAGCTGTTTTCTTGCCTCTTATTCCATTATACATATAGTTAAGAGATTAAGAGATCCTTTGTTTGTCCCACAGTAGGGAAATTTCAGAGTTGCATCACAAGTTATAGAACAGTAAGAAAGAGGAGCACATAGTTTCCATTAAATTATGATGTCACATTCTAAACATAGTGACCTCAAACTTGAGCAACAATTCAAATGTGGAAATGTCTTTTAGTGATATCTTGAAAACGTTTCACTCCACTAATTCAACTGTACAGATGTTTAGATAACGTTTCACTTTATTTACATGTGACGTATTTATATGTAAAAAAAATAAAAGTTTTATTTTGACAATTATTTAGATTTGGTTTGTTTGTTGTGTGAGTGTTTGTGTGATAAGTGACATCTATCAGTGATTTGGCAAAAATCGTTAACACTTCAGTTATTAGGCGAAAGTCTCCTAGGCAACGGTTCCAAATCAGGAGGCCACAGAACCATCACTTTAGTGGTTTGAGTTGAGAGGAGTGTTTGGGACAGTTTGGTTTGAAGAAAATGTTTGTATGAATTAGCCACAGACTGTAAATATTAAATTAGCGAGACGTCTCCTAGCAACCGCCCCAAACAAAGCAAATGGCGTCGGAGGAAGAAGCGGCAGAATATTTAGAAAAACATCAGATTCTGAAACTGATGGAGAATTTGGTGAGTCTGCTGCTGTTCCACAGGCCAGGTGAGGTGCGACAACACAAGACACTCACGTTAAAGTGGGGGCATTCAGCTGGTAGCGTAACGAGCAGAAATGTTGCATTTTAGTTTCCATTACCTTTTGGACATGTTGCAATCTGCGCTTACAGTATACACATACAAATATGTATGTGTGTCTATGTTGTGTTGTATATTTACAATTCCTATGTGTATTTAAAAATACATATTCATAATTTGTCAGCTCGAAATGGGAGTGGGGAAAGACGTAAAAACTTGTATACTCCTTCCTCAAACCATGTCAGTTGTTCTTCTCTAAAACTCACTGAGCTCCTTCTTACACAAAATCTTTTCTAGTGACATTAAAAAAATATCATGGTGTGGCCTGATTTGTTCATTTTTTATATTTAACTTTTTAACAAACCTGAGTTGGGCTGTAAATATTAATGGTCTGACCGCAGTCTGTAAGGACACACAGCTGTGGTCTGAGCGGTGTCTGCAGGGACACAGTGCTGTGGTCTGAGCGGTGTCTGCAGGGACACAGTGCTGTGGTCTGATAAACTGTCTGCAGGAACACACCTGACCGTGTCTGTTTGTCTCCAGAAAAACCGAAGCTCTTCCTCTCTGAACACCTGCAGATGTTGAAGCGTTCTCAGGTCAGTGTGTGTCTCTGTGTGTGTGTTAACTTTGTGTGTGCACATGTGTCAACTGTAGCATATGTCCCTGTGTGTATCTCAGCTCAGTCAGCTCAGAGCCCCGACCCTCTTCACATCTTCAGACCTCGACACTGTGTTCCAGCTGTTAGACCCCGCCCACCGGAAGTACATCACATACGACCAGTACAAATATGGTGAGAGAATACCCCCTTCACTTTAATCACCACCACCACCAATCAGATCTGCGGGACCCAAGGGGAGGGGGTTCATCATTCAAGAATATCATACTGTCAACAGCGGAACTCCTGATGACAGCTCTATAGACACTAGCTCCTGATGACAGCTCTATAGACACTAGCTCCTGATGACAGCTCTATAGACACTAGCTCCTGATGACAGCTCTATAGACACTAGCTCCTGATGACAGCTCTATAGACACTAGCTCCTGATGACAGCTCTATAGACACTAGCTCCTGATGACAGCTCTATAGACACTAGCTCCTGATGACAGCTCTACAGACACTAGCTCCTGATGACAGCTCTATAGACACTAGCTCCTGATGACAGCTCTATAGACACTAGCTCCTGATGACAGCTCTACAGACACTAGCTCCTGATGACAGCTCTATAGACACTAGCTCCTGATGACAGCTCTATAGACACTAGCTCCTGATGACAGCTCTATAGACACTAGCTCCTGATGACAACTCTATAGACACTAGCTCCTGATGACAATTCTTTTTTTTCAGCTCTACAGACTCTTGGTGTCAGTGACATAAATGAGTGTCCTGACGGAGTGAACGATGAGAAGATCAGCCATGACACCTTCAAGACCGAGGCGTAAGGAAACAGCTTTTTGATGTTATCACTGTGGGACAGAACTAGAGTAAACACATCTATCTGAACAGTTTGTATTAAAGCTGGGATAAATAACTTTAGCCTCAGAAATAACACTTAAAGTCTGAAAAAGCTGATCTAAAGACGTGAGAGGACAAAAATAAATTATGTGAAAACTAGTGAGAGTTCTCAGAAACAAGAGACATGGATTTATTACAGAGTTCTATTTGTGTGGTCTGCATGTGACATATCCCAGCTTTGATAGTTCTGATCATTGTGTTTCAGGATGGAGGGTCTGCAGAGGAGTGCGAGGACGTTCCACAGTCCGTGATGCGTTGGACAAATCTGAGAACTGTACAATAATAAAATGTGTCTTTATGAGAAATAACTTATTTGACTTCCAGAACTGAGGCTATAATCGAGAGGGGGCGCTGTGTCCCAGAAAGGAGCATGTTTAGGGCTGACATGTGGAAATTAACCCTAGAGCTAAAGCTGAAAACCCGGTGAAGATGTGGAACTAAAGCTGAATAAACAAATGACAGAAACATGAAGTAAACTTTAATTTCACAGAAAGAAAACTGATTCACAATAAATTACAGTATGTAATGAGAGCTGCGATGTCAGTCTGTGATGTCATCCATCTGTGATGTCACAGTCGCCATCTAAAACTATTCAATTCAAAATGTGTCGTTCACCAATGACATAAAAACTTGTCGTATGCTCTTTGGGAGGGCTAAACAACCCCTGCCCGCTGACTTCAGTCCCACATTTAGACTTAAACACAAATGTCAGTTTTATTTGTTTTGTTTCATATAAAAACATCAGATCATTTTAAACAGAGAAATAACAGCATTCTATTACAGTGACGAGACCACTAGGAGGCTAATGCTAACCTACTAATGCTAGCCAAGTGTGGTTTGTGAGCGTAGGCTGTAGTACTACAGTAGTACTACGGTTTGTGGGGGTACCCTGCATCATCAGCCAGGTTCAGGATGTACCCCGCCAGTTCTTCTTCTGTGGGGAAGTCAGACACAACCCAAGAGTCGTTAGCAGCGCTGACCTGAATTCGGCATACAGGACAGTTCCTCTGCTGCCCCCTCCTAGACACACGAGAGAGGCGTTAGAGAGTGGACCAGACCAGACGTGGATTACAAGCTTATAGCGGATCCACCCTTGGGCACAAGGGGCACCCTCGGTACTGCAGACTAAATTCAAGTGGGCTACTCAGAAAAATGTCCCATAGAACTCAATGTAAACTAAAACAGCTCAACCTTATTATGTCCCTTATCACCCTGACCTGTTTTTCTTGTTAAATCCACACTTTAGTGCAACAAACTGCTCGTTTTCCTACCGCCCTAGCTCTGCTCTGACCAGCAGGGCTCTGATTGGTTAGAATGCTGCCATGCCGCTGCCATGCCCTCGTCCTCACTAGTATTTGCCACAAAGCATCATGGGAGCTCGTCCACTGCGCAGAAACGGGAGGACCAGAGGCATGCCCAAATATGGCCGAGTTCCGCTTATCTTTCGGTACCCATGGTGGTCCCATGCGCCACTGAGCACAAGCCATTGATTTGAATAGACTACCGTCTTTAATCACGGGACTTGTATCAGACCAGGACCAGACCGGACCGGACTCACCACTTGTCGATGCACTTCTGGCAGAAGATGTGAGCACAGGGCAGGATGAGGTCTGCCTTCTTGTCCATACAGATGCAGCACTCCTCTTCATCAGTCAGCTCCTTCACCCTGAAGCAGAAATATGGATTAAGAGAGGACTGGGATGAGCGGACACACACACACACACAGTGAGACACACACGACACATACACACACAGAGAGCCATACCCACGCACACACCTCCCCATCAACATAGAGGCCTGGCAGTCCCCCTCTCCAGCACCCTCTGCTGGCAGCTCTCTGGCCTGTGTGGTGACGTCTGTGTACAATTGAATGAACTGGTACAGGTTCATGATGCGAGAGGCCTCTACTGCACCGCTGTCTTTGTTTATCTGTCAACAGATAAACAAGAGGTAAACAACACGGGTCCCTCTTTGTAACACGTTTCTTTCGCTTTGTGTAATTGAGGCTTTTCTACAATGTGTTTCCCATGTGCCATGAGTTTCTACAACATCATAGAGGGTTAGGGTTATAGAGGTTCTAGGATAACTTTACAGTTTTGTAGAATCAAAAACGCTTCTTTTATCATGCGAGGCCAAGAAAGGTATCAGCCTCCCTCTAAAAGACACATTAGTATCATATCAATCAAACTTTCTCACTGCGCTCGCATAACGCCAGACTTCTGGTGGTTCCTAAAGAGACAAAAAGGGCACTTTACACACAGAGATGGGAATGGGGTCACCAATACATGCCTTTAGTGTAGGGGAGCACCCAGAGGAAACCTATGCGGACACGGGGAGAACATGCAAATTCCACACAGAAAGGCCAGGAGGTGGAATCAGACCCAGGACCTATGTTTTGCAGCACAAACGCAAACCATTGCGCCACCACACACTGTGTATGTAAGGGGTGACACACAGTGTCTACATTCCCAGACTCATGAGATGAACCCCCGTTCCTGGATCTGCAGCCTCAGCCCTGGGTCTACAGCCTCTCCCTATGGACCAATGGCTCCAAAGTGTTTGTTTCTATTGCATTTCCTGTCTTCAAATATTTTGATTCTCTGATCTGTTAGTGAATCCACAACTTTGTAAAGTCCTCAGAGATGACTGCTGTTGTGAGTTAGGGCGATACACAAATAAACTGAATTGAAACTCTGACTTCAGTCTGTGTTTGGTACAAATAACAGATGACCTCTGACCTTGGTGCACAGGACTCTGACAGCAACCTTCCACAGAGCCGACGTGTCAGACTGTGGCTGCACCTCAAAGAGCAGGTGCTTCTTCTGTCCGGACGCCAGCCTCGCCGTGCTGCACAGTGATGTCATCAACGTGAGACACAAGAGAAATATACAAAGAGTGACCCAAGAGGGACCCAGAGGGACCAGAGAGGGACCAGAGAGGGACCAGAGAGGGACCAGAGAGGGACCAGAGAGGGACCAGTGATCAGAGGGATCAGAGGGAGACCAGAGGGAGAGAGAGCTAGAGCAAGCAGAGTTTGTGGTCAATGAAATAAAACATAAAAAACAGGTTGGGTTGACAAATCTGTGTGTAACTTTTGTAATAATTGTGATTATTTGAATTGTGACGGTATAATACTTTGTAACTTGTGACTCACACATCGTTGAGCTCTGCGACTCGAGCAAGAAACTCATCGTAGGTCAGATATCCGCTCTCTTTCACCAAAGCCACATGGCGAAGCAGCTTTTCTGGTAGCCGCTGTGCCTGACCCATCAGCACCAGAAGAAGGGCTTACCTAAACGCGCACACACACACACACACACACATACTTTAGCAATTGTTGCAATGACCAAACAGTAGACACACTGAGGAGATTGAGGAAAGTTTTCCAACATTTAAATCATTAATTTTACGTAACAAAAAAGATTTCTAATGTTTATCTTAACTCCACATCCTGCTGAACAACAGACGTTTAAAAGTGCTTTTATAATGAAGTAGTACATAGTTTTTCGCTATGGTGAAGGCTCAGTGAAGGCTCAGTGATGGATCAGTGATGAAACCTAAACTATTAACCACTGGTCAAATATTCTTGCAGGATGGACCAATAATTATCTAAGAACATTTACTTTCACATTGATAACAGGAACATGTGTTGCTTGCATTTGGTAACATGAAAAACGGGGTCATATCTATATACTTTATAAAATATATTTGTGAGTTTCCTCAGTCCTAATTGGCGAAGTGACAGTTGTGACATTTGACTGGCGTTATGTTTCTAAAAGCTTGCAGATTCACAACACTCAGTCTGAAGTCCACTCTTATCTCAAGTTCTGATTAACGCTACATCAGTTTTATAATCTCGCATTTAGCTTCTGGACGTCTAGATAACTAACGCTATGTAATCCCGATTGAACACTAACAGTTCACTCTCTGGTGTCTCTCTCTGAACTTTCTCTCTGGTCGCTTTCAACCATGTGAAACTATATGAATCCCATTAGAACAAATAACAAATGTAACCGTCAGCCGCTAGCATCCTGCGCTAGTGTATTGAAACGTGGATTCTGCGCCTACGTGAGGGTAGCGGGAAAAGTCCCATAAACAGGTTATTCTCACCGAACACAGGAATCATCAGAAATCACGTCCTTTACGTCCCGATCAAACGTTCCGTCAGCCTCTGTTGATGTTGTTATGTGTGAGCATACTGTGTGAGACAGAGACAAGCGGCGCAGACTGATGACGCCAACACGAAGCAAGTCCAAAACACATCAATGTAATTAACGTATTCAAAATTACAGTAAAAACATATTATAAAAATAGTAATAAATATTAATAGTATTAATTCTAGTTTGCATGTTCTCCCTGTGTCTCACGGTCGAAGGTTTCCCCCCGGTTTCTCTGATTGGCCAGTGGGCAGGTGTACCGTTTCCATGGTACAACAGTGTTTATGTTGATGAAGAGAAGGCCGAGGAGAAAGACGAGGCTGAAGGAAACGTGAGGCGGTAATGTTAAACCATGCTACTGCTCACAGTAGAAGTGTTTTTGACGTTGAACCTGCCTTAAAAAGTACCTTGTCCTATGGTCCAATCAGGGGACAGCTGCTAGGTCAGCTTAAGGAGAATGTTCACTAGGCCTGGACGCCACCGGGCGCGTCTCCTTTGACGCGCGTTGGCTGCTGTCCGTCAGCCGTCCGTAAAACGGACTAGTGGTCAAACCGGCTGCAGCAGCGCGCAACTCTGGCTGTGCGTTTATCAGCCTGCTTTGTTTTTGTAAGAGACATGTTTGGGCATTGTGCAGTGAAAAGGCGGTATATAAATAAAGATTACTTACTACTGTGAATGAATGAATGTTTGGCTGATGGAGGAGTTATGGCGTGCATGTGTGCGTGAGCGTGTGCGTGAGAGCGCCCGTGTGTGTGTGTGTGTGTGTGTGTGTGTGTGGTGGGAGGCGTGTGCGTGCATGTGTGTTTGGGTCTGTGACTGCAGCGTTTATTATGATCCAGCCTCTTCGTTTGTTTTCTACTTATTTAGCGCGTCAACACTTTTATCGGACCTAACTCGCCTCTCCGCGGCTTTAGGCAACAGGCAGCCGCTATACATAGTTCCCACAGACCAATGAATGTCACATAACCTCCTCGGAGACGCCATCTTTGATGGCACGCTGCTGTGTTTGTGCATTCCATTAAACAGAAGAATGAGAATAAATGTAGATATTCAAACGCAAATTGGAAAAAAAGGGCAACTTTTGAGCAAATAATTGTATATTAATACAATGGCACCACAGTTTAACGTGCTACGGACATGTTTTACATATTTGATCAAATTATGCAGCAAAAAAATTAACAAGCAATGCAAACATTTCTCAAAAACTTTAGATTTAATACCAGTTGGAGCTCCATTTAATTATTTTAATTATATTAACAATTCATTTAATTAATGCTAATGCCACACGGACACTCTGGATTGCTGTTATTGTTTATTTCCGCGTTTTTGACCGTATGTTTTGGTGAATGGTGGGCAACTGATTTTTCCAGGCGTAAAGAGCAGTTTATTTTATGACACAGATCTTTTTACAGAAGCAATGCTGTTTTTGAACATTGTTTTAGCCCACCATAGAACTATTATTATCTATTTAATACATTTAAGTTGCCCTCGAGAGCCTCGGACGCGACACCGATCCTCCTCATAATAAAGTAATCTAAATAATGAAACTCTCAAGTTACCAGATATCAGCATACACAAGTTAGTACTGAGTAAATTACGTCTGTCAACACATTATAAGATACGATACGCACCTGACACAAAGTGCTCCGAGCATATTCTTGCGTGTTTTGAGGGAGTTTCTTGCCTGTTTATCTTCGCAAGCCATAACCTCCGTGGTTGTTCTGACAAAAGCTTAGTCTTCTCACATTCATGAAGTCTAATGATGGGTATACTGTAAAATCCAAGTTTAACGGAACCTCCGGCACGATTTGAACATCCATTGACCCAGCAGGAGATGACCATTTTCAACTTTATCACGACATTAACACGTTTCAGCTTCTTTTTCTATTGTTTTGCCCACAGCATGCCAACACAAATGGCGCCGGGTCGGCAAATCCCCGTATGTAGTGACGTCATGTGGGAACTATGTATAGAGATATCTCACGTGACGTCACGATGCCTCGAACTCGCGGGGCATCCGCCATACTGGAGGACAAGCAAACGCTGTATGATAGTGGCGTGCACCCATGGATCTATTGCACCCGGGACCGCATAAACATGTTCAAAATTTTTGCCGTTTTTGGCTGCAGCAAAAGGAGATACAGAGAAAATAAGTTGTGTTACCGACTGCCAGCCGTCCTTACTTCACACGGCTCAAAAACAGAAGACATCTCAAAGAAACGAGAGAGAAATGGCACAACCATACGCAACAACAAAAAACTAATAGCCCCCAGAGCGCCCGAATATGCTCGGATCATTTCATTTCTGCTGAGTGAAATCAATTTGATGGCGGATTTAGTGTTATTCCGAAACAAACAGAAGTTTAAGGATAAAACATATCTGTCTGACTGCAACATGGGGTAGCTTAGCTTGTAGCATAGCTGTTATATATTTGGTCTCACACAGGACCTCACCCGGTTCACAGGGGATCTGACTTACCGAAGGCCAGCAGACATGTGAACGACTGAGCCGTGCTCAAGGGTGCCCCGTACTAGTATTTATTAATAAAATATACGGATCCTCACAGTAGACGCAGAAAGCTCCATTGATTTGAATGTAATCTCATTATTTCCACTGCAGTGTAGCCACACATACTGTAAACCCGGATAAGTTGAGTTTACTTAAAAAATTTTAGGAAACTGGTTGCCCTAAAAAAATTAAGTAATGTCTGATGAAAACTTGAGTGAATTTAACTTAAAAAGATGAGTGGATGGCATCTTTATTTTGAGTTCAATACACTCAACACCATTAGTAATATTAATTACTTTGCCCCTTTATTCCACTGAAAACTTTAAGTCAAGTGCACTAACCTCCAAGATGATTAAACTTAAAAACATTACTAATATCAATTGCTTTACATATTTATTCCACTTATAACTTTAAGCTGAATACACTAACCTCCAAGTTGATTTACCTTAAAATTTCCTTTGCCCAATTACTTCACTATCTGAAGAGTAAAATAAAATCTGTTTAATAAAAGAAACCCATACAGATTAAATTAATTAAGAAAATAAAAAGCAAAATCACAAAAGTACATTCTTGTCAACATGTTTTATTAAACTTGTCTTTATCATGTTATCAAACAAAATAGGTTTGCAATCAAAAAATCAAATAGGACTCTTGAATGAATCAGGATGGCATTAAACTACAAAATCAATGTCAATGCTATACAACATAGGTAGCAATAGGAATTAAACTATATCAGCGCTAATAACACAAGTTATACACCAATCAGCATTGAAGAAAATGGAAAAATCAATGTCAATGCTATACAACATAGGTAGCAATAGGAATTAAACTATATCAGCGCTAATAACACAAGTTATACACCAATCAGCATTGAAGAAAAGGGGCAAAATCAGTGGCAATGCATAAAAAACTTGCATATCAAACAGGGCCAACAGTAAACATGGTATTTTTAAAGTGCAACATTACAAATAACCAAGCACTCAGATCCAGAGCAGTGGTATATGTATTCAGAACCCTGTTTTATACAGATAGCTGATTCTTCAAAGATAGAATTTTGGGTTTCAGCTCAACTCTGCCCAGGTTTAGCATGACCTGTTGAATAAAGTGGAAGGTGCTTTTCATGCACTTGGGGTAGTCCAAGTGCAAGGCATAAATTAGTCCAAAAAGGACACAGAAAGCCTGTGGCAGGTTGGCCAGCTCCTCCATTACCACACTCCCTTCCAAGACGATGCTCACTCTGGATGGGTTGAGTTGAGGATGTTCGTCAATGCAGAGGATTCCCACTGAAGTTTCACTGTACAAGTCCTTGTCAGTTGCATCCTAACAGAAAAAGAAACGGACAAAGAGACGACATTGTAATGTCAATAATGCTGTGTTGACCACAAAAATTGAGAGAGGACAACACCAATTTTAAAATCGCCATAATTTGAACTGTGCATTACAAGAGCCGTTTGAAAACCTGTGTGCTGAAATGGTTTTGTAGCTCAGCAGAGATGGAGAGCTTTGTCAGTCCCATTCAAGCTGAAAAGTTGTGTAAAAACAATTTCCAGTACAGATGCAATGGGGTTCTATGCACAGATCCACTACTTCCTGAACTTAATGCTGCTCCTTTGTTTCCTGTCTTACATTATTGGACAAACTGATTAATCCAGGTGTCTGACCATTGTGACTACTCAGACACACCTGGATTATTATCAGTTTGTCCAATAATGTAAAGACAGGAAACAAAGGAGCAGCATTAAGTTCAGGAAGTAGTGGAGCTATGGATAGAGCCCATTGTTGCAGTTACAAATGTAAGACCAGTTTTGTCCTTTAATCTCAAAAAGTAAGAATTTATGTAAGGGTTTTTTATAGTCCTCAGCAAAATAAACAGAGGGGTCCCTCCCTGTGGCCCTATCTCACACTAGCTGATGGCAATTTCACAGAAAGACAAAGGTGAAAGTTCAAATTTTTGTACAATGTTAATTTGTTTGTAATTTAGAGTAAGTAGTAGTAATTTATTTTTTACAGTAAATTCATATCAGATGGTCATGTTGTGAATCAATAATGCAGATATTCAAAACAAATTCAGTTACTTACCGAGCAGGTTTTGAAGAACGCAGAGGGGTCATCCCCCAAGACGACTGGCAGTCCCCGAAGACAAAGGCACCTGATGTCTGTTGGCTCAGTGGTCTGGAAGATAGTGGACATAACTAAGTACACTCATACTGTATATGCTTAAATAGATTCCAGAAAGTCGCCACAATTTAATTAATTCATTACAAACTTCCTGGAGAGAAAGTAGAGAGGAGTGGGTAGAAGAACAGAAGAGTAGATATAAAAACAAGAAAAGAGCAAAGTATATAGAGTAGGATAAAAGAGGAGGAAATGGAAACGGGAGAGCAATGAAAAGTAATGAGATGAGAAGAAAGAGGAAAGAATAGAGAGGCAAGAGAGGCAGTCAGCTTAGGTAGACAAGTCAGCCTACCTTTGTCTGACGTAAAAGGTCAGTTAAAATCTGTCCACTGAGGCCCTTCTTCCTGAAGAGGTCCATCAAGTTTGGCGAGAAACGGTCAAGTGCCTCAAAGAAGTTTTCTTTGAGATTTTTCCCCACCACACGGGTGAACTCGCAACACACCTGAAAATATAAAACATAGCCCAACGGTCAAATGAAAGATATTTATGACCCTCAACACAACACAATTTAGGTCACAGTGTTAACCACTTTTTGTAAATACTCAAAACAGGCATACAAACCTGGCTCTCAGAGAAAAGTGCTGGCCATCGCTGTACAATCTGGGTAATTGCAGGCTTGTCTGTCACAACTTCTTTTCTCCGAAGAGCAAAGGTCCTATCCATCTCTTTCTTAATAAGGGACCCATTTGGCTTCGCTTTCATCATTTCATTGACTAGAACCTGGCGAGCTGCTTCCAGGTTGTGGTCATCCAACCCCTCTGGATACTGAGGCAGGAAATTTATTTCTCCTTTCCTTGGCTTTTTGATGTCCTTGTTTGGAGGGTCGCCATTTGTAGAGTATCTTCCACGTTTACCACTATTGACAGTGACGTCAAGTCGGCCCAGCTTGCACATTTTGGCTCTGTAATTTCCAACCTTGAACTTCAAACTGTTCTTCCATCCAAGACAGCCAGAGGTTGACCCTGCTTCTTTAAGACATGGGTGTGTTTCTACTAAAGCTTGTGCAACAGCCGCTAAATCATCCTTTGTTGGGTATGCATCAAATGCATAGATGACCTCAGCCAATTTCTCAAGGATATCATGCTTTAGCTCTTTTGTCACTTTGAGATAGGTTCCATCCCTGAGATATAACAAGTTACCTTGACGGAGTCGGTACTCAACATCAACTGAAAATTTAGGAATTTCAAACACCTCTGGCCATGGCACACTTCTATCCAGAGAGGAGACGGACAAGATCTCGGTGTCTGCCAAGCTGATTGTGTCACTACTCAATGAAGATTGTTCAAGTGGTCGTTCAACTGGTTCAGTGACTGGTACCAATTCAACCATAGGGATGATTTTAATGGTTGGCTTATCTGGGAGGTCTGAGACATCTTCAAGGTTACACAGTTCATTGTTAAAGTTGGGGTCTTGGTACTGTAGGACGAAGTTGTAATTTGCTTGGAGAGTGCCTTTAAGCCAGCCAATCAACTCTTCAAGTGTGTCCGGTCGTGTTGTCATTGTAGACTTTCTGATGTCTCCCTCTGAGACAATAACCCTCATGATGAATTTCTCTTGCATAGCCATCTGCGGAGAAAGGATATACTCAATAATTTAGCAAATAACATATCGTTTCAGTGTTACCATAAGTTCTCCTTGGACCCTGTATGCTGATAACGGGAGGACATCATTCAGCTCCAATATCTTGACCACATATGTGGCGGGGATATCACCAGAGTGAAGTTGGTAAGATCTCAAATGCTCACAGTACCATGCGGTCATTTTGTGGCAGATGAACAGGATTTCTGTGTTAGCTGTAACAATCTTTTCAATCTGGGCAAATTCAGAGAGACCTGAGCATGAGCCAAAAGAGAGAATCATGCCTGGATGATACATGATTCCATCTATGCAGACAGATGACACATCCAGAACAGACTCTACCTTTGCAATGTCTCGAGCAAATACTCTCTGAACATTCAAAGGGAAAGAGGCAAGCAAAACTGGGGTAACCCTTGTCATTTCCACCGATGGTTTTAAAAATGTGCTGCAGTCAAGATGGTAACTGACTGCTTTCTGGTGTTTTGTAGCAAGTGTCATTGCAACATTTTTGAAATTTTGAGCGTTCCGAATTGCTTTTTTAAAGAACTTATGTTTCCCCTCGAAGCGCATTGTCCAAACATCGCACAAGGGACCAAACTTCCTCACAAGGTAAGGATAGTGTTCCAGGTAGTGATGCTTTGGCTTTAACTTAAAACCTGGAAAAGTTGACTGCAGCAGCCGTCTGTGTTCTGTTATTTTGCATTCCATGAAATGCAGTGTCTCTTCAGTATGCCTTGGTGCCACAGCCAGCTCGATTATGTCTTTAAGAAGCATCAGAATTTCCCAAGTGTCATCACCCTCAGGAACACGGTGACCAATGAGAAATGGGAGGAGCCTTATGAGACACCAGTTCTCATGGCCATTTCCACCAATGCTTCCTTTGGTGGAAAATCCCTTTCCGATCATCTGAGGGCGATCTGTTTTGTCTGTGAATGTATAATCAAAGTGTCTGATGGACTGATTAAGTGTATCTAACGTGAAATACCTCTTGCTTATCAGATTTTTAAGACACAGGGACAACTCCAGTGTTTCCCACACATAGACTAATCTGTGGCGCACCGCCACAGATTAGAGACCGCCCGCCACAAATTGCGTTTCGTATTATTATATATATTTTTTTTTTGTTACGCTATTTAAAACATGCATCGTCTAGTGCCGCCGCAGCGGTCAATTTGACAGCGGGGAGGGGGGTTTAAAATGTGGCGGCCCTTCGTAACTCTCACTCAAGCTACGCGTCTCTCCCACATACAGAGACCTACACACACACAGCCCCTCCCCTTCGTGCACACCGCGTGTCTCCGTCTCCATCAGCGATCATCGCTGTAAGCAGCTGTGTCTATTAATTTACCGCGGTAAAGTGGCCCGCATCTTTCAGCTCTATGAACATGCGGCCCGCATCGGGGAAAAGACGGTGCGCGTTTTGTTGAGAACTTACGGTAACAGCGGAACGTCCTTTCGGAGTCACCCATTTTTATCGAACAGAAAGCGCGCTGGGGTCAGGGAGACACGTTTTTGTGATTAAAACCTTATAGAGATGCCACCCGGCACACATAGCACCAGCCCCCTACGATTCCTCCGGCAGATTGTGAGTCCTCAGGAGGATAGCCACTCTATTGTTTACATGTATAAAGTACACAATTTGGTCCGCTAGTGCAATTTTCAAGTATTGTAACTATTTACTGGAATAAGGTGTGCGACTAATTTCACTTGACTCATGACCTTATTATTGCCCTCTGCCACTGTACCAAAGACCAGAAACTTTTACTGTAGAAATATTGATTTAAAGTAGCCATTTTGGTCCAAAATAGCCTAAAAATTGTCAAAACATGTCACTTTTGATCTGCTGTAACTTATTACTGTAAAAAGGTGTGCGACTAATTTCACTGGATTCACGACCTCATGATTGCCCTCTACCACTGTACCAAAGACCAGAAACTTTTACTGTAGAAATATTGATTTAAAGTAGCCATTTTGGTCCAAAATAGCCTAAAAATTGTCAAAACATGTCACTTTTGATCTGCTGTAACTTATTACTGTAAAAAGGTGTGCGACCCCCCCCCCGCCGACCACCACACATTGCCTTCAAACCTGTGGGAAACACTGAACTCAGTTGGCACAATGCCTTCAAACAGATCATGCAAGATGTCAGGAGGATACCCGGTGACCACATGAAAGTGCTCGAGATTTTCAGTTAATGGACATGCTCTTTTCACACCATATATCTGACTGAGTGATGTGTCCTCTCTCACCTCCTGCACTTGCCTATCATGAGAGTCTTTGTCTCTGAGCTGAAAAAATCCAGAACAAACCTCTTGCTGTTGTGCGTCTCTGCTGCTCGCTAGACAGAATCTGCAGAACTTGTCGACCGTGAAGCTCTCCATGAATCCTGCAAGAGAGTGAGCACCAAGATTATCAGCGGCAACATATAAGACTGTGCCCTTCACACTTGCACCTAGTGACTATGTAAAACACCATTTTGCTCCAATATCTTTAGATCATAGATGAGCGGTTGCAGAACTTTTGCATAACCACACTCTTTAACTGTAGACGTATTGGATAGTAGAGCAAGCTGGATTGAGTTGAGGGTGGACCTGTATTTTGCAGGTGTGTTTGCAATGACCCAGTACACGGCACACATTTTATGTTTCAGCTTTGATGTACCTAGAGGATTGGCGACTTCAAAGTCATCAATGTAAAGGCCAAGAGCAATTGTGAACTCATCGCTCGCAAGAAGAGAATTTTCATTAAAGTACTGCCCATCTGCATAAGACGTGTATTCCTGCAGTACATGGACTTTTTCTGACAAAGCTTTATCTAACACGTCAGTTTTGTTAAGCAGCTTCTGGAGCATTGGAACAATGGGGACATATGCAAGTGGTTTTCTGCCTTTTTCCACAACATATTCAATAGGGTTTACCAGTGGGAACTCTTTGCGTACATAGGCTGCTCTCTTCTTAGCAGTTCCTAAGGGTCCATCTTTGGCACAAAATGACATCATGTTACACTCTGACACAGCACTGGTAATTTCGCTCACAACTGTATCATCCACATTATCAAAGTAATTATTTAGTGTAGCCCTCACTTTGTTATGCAGAAGTGGCTCTGACAGCTTATTGATTTCACAAAGCTGCTGTAATACCTCTTGCACAGAACTCTCTGGTATGTGCATAACTGTTTGCATCTTTAACAGAAGAGATGCTAAGTTGTGCTCTAGCTGCTTTCCTAAATCACGAATATCATTCTCACTAGCTTCTTCACCAACTCCTTCCAACTCTGCCATGTCATCAGCTAGTGATATTTGCTCTTGTGCACCATCCTGATCATGACTTTCATAATCACAACCAATGATTTCTGACTTGAACCTCTTCCAGCTGTGTTCCTTGTGTGCTTTACTCTTGTGTGCTTTGAACGTGGAGTAGACACTGCTTTCAAAGTCACAGTCTGTATAAGGGCAACTGACTTTATGGTTGACTTTTAAGTGTGCATTATGCAGGTGACTAAAGTAGTCAGTTTCAGTGCAAAACTCAGCAAACCCACATGACAGACAACAAAACTTTACTTGTACATCTACAGTTGGTTGCTGTTCTGAAGTTCTGGAGTGAAGGCGGGATAAGTGTACTCTTAAGGCGCGTTCAGACCAAAAGCTTCAAAAAGCTTTTGACGCGCTTCAACTGACGCTGGGATAGTTTTGTCATTTTGGTGCTTGAAGCTTTTGACGCGAGTGACGCGCCTGACGCCGGTGGGAGGAGCTTCTCTGTTGCCTGTAGTCAGGACAGCGGTGGATTTTTCAATGAGCAGCGAGCCTTTATTTGTTATATAAAGCAAAATAACGTTGTTGTAGGGCTTCAACAAAACATGTTCTGGGTTCACCACAGACTTGAGAGGCTGCAGTGTTTGCAGAGTTCCGTCATTTACTCCAGGAGCTGCGTACGGAGGAGTTTCGCTTTCAGCGGTACTTCCGCATGTCACTCGCCCAGTCTGAGTTCTCAAACCCCGGAGCTCGCCTCTCCCCGCCTCGCTCTCGCCTCTCCCCGGCTCTCCCTGCCTCTCCCCGGCTCTCGCTCGCCTCTCCCCGGCTCTCCCTGCCTCTCCCCGGCTCTCGCCCGCCCGGAGCTGCCTTGCTCTGAGCCAGACTCATCGTCAGCCTGTTCTTATTTTAAATAAACTACGTTTACTACACAGCATGTGTACAATGATTTTTGTTACTCAGAACGTTACTACTCATAAAAATAATATTACTAATAACAATAATGACAATAAAACAGCAGCAGCAGATACATGACTTCTCTTCATGACAGAGACAGACCCTCTGCTGCTGCTGCTCCTCGTCTCCTGATTGGTTGAAGCCCGCGTCAAAGCTTCAAAAACTCAGCTTTGCTCAGCTTCGGCGTCAAAGGGATTGTTTTGATACGCGAGCGTTTCGCGCGTCAAAAGCTTCAAGTGAGCGCGTATTACGCGCAACCTTTGAAGCTTTTGACGCGCGCCAAGTGACGCCGGGCCCCTCGGCTTCACCTGACGCGCTTCACCATTCACTTTCAATGGAAACCTGACGCTTTTGACGCCGAAGTTAAGTCCGGTGTGAACGCCCCTTTAGTGCATTGAGTGATTTGAATGTACTCAGACATTCCTGGTGTAAACATGGAAATGGTTCTGTTCTTGCATAGCTCGCATGTTTTAGTCTATAGTGCTTAAATAGCTGTGCTCTCTCTTCACAGATGAAAGGGCAGTACTTACACTTCCACAACATGTCTTCTGGAGACCTGCAACACAATAAAAAAAGAAAAAACAACATAAGAGATGGGGAAGTAATGTTAGATTTGCCTCTACAATCTATCTGTATTTTGAGACTCTTAATTCTGGATAGTGATAAAACTTTGTTTGACGTTCACTTCTTAAAAAGTAATGTTACTCTGTGGAAGTAAAGAGGGTCACATACACATTGCAATGTCACAGCCTGGTCACATGAATACAGTTAGCATTTTACAGATGATTTACTAACAATTAATGGCAGTTATCTAGAGTGAAAAAGTACACAAAAAATATCCAGTTACCGTAGCAAGAGCAAAAATCCCAATGCTGAAAAACAGTAGCTTCAAATGTCTGTTTAAGCAACCTTTTCAAACGGCCACAACACTGAAGGTTAGGGTTCAAGAGCAGATTCAAAATGTAGGTTTGAGCGGGAGCTGCTCACAACTAGCTACTAAAGCTATGTGTGTCCGTTAAAATGCTAACAGTGCTAGCCAAATGTGTCTTAACATTAGCACGTCAGTTTAGCTAATGATAACGTTTTTTCACTGCTCTAACAGTCGAGCTAGTACCACAGAGTGGTGGTCGGTCACTCACCAGATTCAGTCTCCTGTCGCCCTCTGTCTTCGTCTGTACTCCACTCGAGGCACACGTCCTCCGGCAGCGCGGCGCCAACGGCTTATTTAGTGACAAAATGAGCTACAGGGTCCGCGGTAGTGGAACTGCTGTTTCCACTGCTTACAAACTACTCCTCGCTGTAAAAAGAACTAACAAGTTGTAAAATGTCTCTCGGACACAACAGCAGCGAACCGTTGAAAATATACGCAGGAGAAGTGACGTGCTGCAACATGCCTTCAGGTTGCTGCATTCAAGTGGTGTCAGAATAATCGGGTACATTAATTTCCGACTGACAAAAATCACACGAACACTGATAGGTAGTAAATCTCTGCCCATGTAGAGTGAAATAGATTAGTGAGTTATTTATTTGCATAAATCCTGATAGCAAGTCAATATTTTTGTGATTTTAGGTATTGTAGAGTCTACTAGTAGAATACAACAACAAGTCTGGGATAAAATCACTGATAAAAAGCTTAAAAGGGTTTCTGCATAGTTGATAACGACGTGAAAAGGATAACCATGTCTTTTTAAATGTTTTGAGTATTAAAACATAAAACTTCTTCTTTGTAGCATCCACAAAGTTGAAAAATAACCTCGGGAAAACCGAACCTTCCTACACTACTTGAATGCAGAGGGAATTTTTGAGGCGTGGTCATGACCAAAACTTAAAAATTCCGTGCCACTTAACTTAAAGTTAGTCATTCATGACATTACTTTCAAATGTAAGTATATTCTACTTCGAATTAGTAGACTGGGCTTAAATTTGATAGTTCTACAATCAAACTTAAATTATCTATGTATGTTGAAATTGCTTGTTTGAGTAGAAATGAAATCCGGGCTAACAGTGAACAATAAACACATTAAATGTTAATACATTATACATATACATTCTTAATACACGTGCACAGAGGTTTTCAGAATTTTCTGTTCACGTTTTCATGAAAAAACACTGTTTTAATGCGACAATATGCGACCGCGGTAAACCTGGATGTAACATTAATAATACATTTTAGGATGCATTTTCAGAGGATCTGATTCATGAATTTAGGTTGAGTATATATTTGGGTCACTAACTGCTGAAGTTTCAAATTCTATGGTCAGTTTTCATGTAGTTCGAGAGAGTTCTAGGTTTGAACGTCCAGTTATAGATAGCTAGCAGGGCTGTTACTCGCCGAGGTTGTCCTCCAGTATGGCTGCCGTGGCTGCTAGTCACGTGACCGTAGGATCCCGTTTTAAATAAAAAAAGCGGTGTGTGATGTGCATGAGCTGTGGCTATGATCAGTGCAAAGCACGGCATATTGAAGCATTGAGGACGTCGCGATGGATGAGGCAAAACTTATTCAAAGCAATTGGAAAAAGGGGAGAGAGAAAAGAACTCCAACATATCCAGTGTTGTGAGATCTGTCTCTCATAAGTGCAGCTCTGTGTGTGAGTGTGTGTGTGTGAGTGTGTGTGTGTGTGTGTGTGTGGATGGGAGCGCGCGGCGGTGAGGAGAGAGCGCCTCGGAGGTAGAGGGGACAGAGCGAGAGGAAAAAGAGCGAGGTGTATGAAAGATTAGCGTATTAACATTACGCGAAAAATAAATGGTAGATTTACGACCACGAAACAATTATTTAAATTAATACATGAAAAACATTACACACGTTTGTTAATAAGCATTGTCATTAACAAATATTTCTAACCAAGGACTACAGCATATATCAATACATGTTTAACAATGTTGTAAATATATCATTCCATTGTATTTTCAATGGAATACGGACCCGACACGCGTCGACGGACGGAACAAATAGGATTGTTTCTATTTCGTCCGTCCGCGTCCGTTGCACCCTCCGTTGACGGAATACGTCCGACGTGCGTTGGACGGACGCATGCGTAGGCAGTGGAGCCACTTCCATTCACCCTCATGGAGATAACGGAGACGGAGATGAAACGGACATGTTTGGACGGATCCGTCGTCCGTTTTACGCGCCCGGTGGAGTCTCCTCATCTCCGTCTCCGTTATCTCCATGAGGGTGAATGGAAGTGGCTCGCTCTTTTTTCTCTCGCTCTGTCGTCTACCTCCGAGGCGCTCTCTCCTCACCGCCGCGCGCTCCCATCCACACACACATTACCACCGCGGTAAAGTGGCCCGCATCTTTCAGCTCTATGAACATGCGGGCCGCATCGGGGAAAAGACGGTGCGCGTTTTGTTGAGAACTTACGGTAACAGCGGAACGTCCTTTCGGAGTCACCCATTTTTATCGAACAGAAAGCGCGCTGGGGTCAGGGAGACACGTTTTTGTGATTTAAACCTTATAGAGATGACACATAGCACCAGCCCCCTACGATTCCTCCGGCAGATTGTGAGTCCTCAGGAGGATAGCCACTCTATTGTTTACATATATAAAGTACACAATTTGGTCCGCTAGTGCAATTTTCAAGTATTGTAACTATTTACTGGAATAAGGTGTGCGACTAATTTCACTTGACTCATGAGCTTATTATTGCCCTCTGCCACTGTACCAAAGACCAGAAACTTTTACTGTAGAAATATTGAGAAATATTGAGGTAAAGTAGCCATTTTGGTCCAAAATACCTCCAAAATAGTCAAAACATGTCACTTTTGATCTACTGTAACTTTTTACTGTAAAAAGGTGTGCGACTAATTTTACTGGATTCATGACCTCAACATTGCCCTCTACCACTGTACCAAAGACCAGAAACTTTTACTGTAGAAATTTGGAGAAATATGGAGTTAAAGTAGCCATTTTGGTCCAAAATAGCCTAAAAATTGTCAAAACATGTCACTTTTGATCTACTGTAACTTATTACTGTAAAAAGGTGTGCGACTAATTTCACTGGATTCATGACCTCATGATTGCCCTCTACCACTGTACCAAAGACCACACTTTTACTGTAGAAATATTGAGAGATATTGAGGTAAAGTAGCCATTTTGGTCCAAAATAGCCTAAAAATGGTCAAAACATGTCACTTTTGATCTACTGTAACTTATTACTGTAAAAAGGTGTGCGACTAATTTCACTGGATTCATGACCTCATGATTGCCCTCTACCACTGTACCAAAGACCAGGAACTTTTACTGTAGAAATCTGGAGAAATATGGAGTTAAAGTAGCCATTTTGGTCCAAAATAGCCTAAAAATTGTCAAAACATGTCACTTTTGATCTACTGTAACTTTTCACTGTAAAAAGGTGTGCGACTAATTTCACTGGATTCATGACCTCATGATTGCCCTCTACCACTGTACCAAAGAACAGGAACTTTTACTGTAGAAATATTGAGAAATATTGATTTAAAGTAGTCATTTTGGTCCAAAATACCCCCAAAATAGTCAAAACATGTCACTTTTGATCTACTGTAACTTTTTACTGTAAAAAGGTGTGCGACTAATTTCACTGGATTCATGACCTCATGATTGCCCTCTACCACTGTACCAAAGACCAGGAACTTTTACTGTAGAAATATTGAGAAATATACATAGTTCCCACAGACCAATGAATGTCACATGACCTCCTCGGAGACGCCATCTTTGATGGCTCGCTGCTGTGTTTGTGCATTCCATTAAACAGAAGAATGAGAATAAATGTAGATATTCAAACGCAAATTGGAAAAAAAGGGCAACTTTTGAGCAAATAATTGTATATTAATACAATGGCACCACAGTTTAACGTGCTACGGACATGTTTTACATATTTGATCAAATTATGCAGCAAAAATTAACAAGCAATGCAAACATTTCTCAAAAACTTTAGATTTAATACCAGTTGGAGCTCCATTTAATTATTTTAATTATATTAACAATTCATTTAATTAATGCTAATGCCACACGGACACTCTGGATTGCTGTTATTGTTTATTTCCGCGTTTTTGACCGTATGTTTTGGTGAATGGTGGGCAACTGATTTTTCCAGGCGTAAAGAGCAGTTTATTTTATGACACAGATCTTTTTACAGAAGCAATGCTGTTTGTGAACATTGTTTTAGCCCACCATAGAACTATTATTATCTATTTAATACATTTACGTTGCCCTCGAGAGCCTCGGACGCGACACCGATCCTCCTCATAATAAAGTAATCTAACGCTAAATAATGAAACTCTCAAGTTACCAGCTATCAGCATACACAAGTTAGTACTGAGTAAATTACGTCTGTCAACACATTATAAGATACGATACGCACCTGACACAAAGTGCTCCGAGCATATTCTTGCGTGTTTTGAGGGAGTTTCTTGCCTGTTTATCTTCGCAAGCCATAACCTCCGTGGTTGTTCTGACAAAAGCTTAGTCTTCTCACATTCATGAAGTCTAATGATGGGTATACTGTAAAATCCAAGTTTAACGGAACCTCCGGCACGATTTGAACATCCATTGACCCAGCAGGAGATGACCATTTTCAACTTTATCACGACATTAACACGTTTCAGCTTCTTTTTCTATTGTTTTGCCCACAGCATGCCAACACAAATGTCGCCGGGTCGGCAAATACCCGTATGTAGTGACGTCATGTGGGAACTATGTATTGATTTAAAGTAGTCATTTTGGTCCAAAATAGCTCCAAAATAGTCAAAACATGTCACTTTTGATCTACTGTAACTTATTACTGTAAAAAGGTGTGCGACTAATTTCACTGGATTCATGACCTCATGATTGCCCTCTACCACTGTACCAAAGACCAGACACTTTTACTGTAGAAATATTGAGAAATATTGATTTAAAGTAGCCATTTTGGTCCAAAATAGCCTAAAAATGGTCAAAACATGTCACTTTTGATCTACTGTAACTTTTTACTGTAAAAAGGTGTGCGACTAATTTCACTGGATTTACGACCTCATGATTGCCCTCTACCACTGTACCAAAGAGCAGGAACTTTTACTGTAGAAATCTGGAGAAATATGGAGTTATAAGTAGCCATTTTGGACCAAAATGGCTACTTTACCTCAATATTTCTCAATATTTCTAATGTCCAAATTGTCCAAATTAAATGTCGAACATTTTAAGTTTTTACATGCTTTTCCAAATAAGGGTTTATTCACAAAACGAGTCTCCTAAGCGCGCTTTCTGTTCGAGGAGAAAAGCTGACAGCGAAAGGCTGTTCTGCTATTACCGTAAGCAGTCAACAAAACGCGCACTGCTTTTCTCTCGATGCGGGCCGTTTTACTTCGGAGGTGAAAGATGCGGCCCACTTTACCGCGGTCACATTACCCACAGAGCTACTGCACTTATGAGAGACAGATCTCACAACACTGGATATGTTAGAGTTCTTTTCTCCTTTCTCTCTCCCCTTTTTCCAATTGCTTTCAATAAGTTTTGCCTCATCCATCGCCACGTCCTCAATGCTTCACACACGCACATCACACACCGCTTCTTCTATTTAAAACTATAGCAGCTGCCTGTTGCCTAAAGCCGCGGAGAGGCGAGTTGGGTCCGATAAAAGTGTATGACGCGCTAAATATGTATAAAACAAACGAAGAGGTTGCATCATATAAACGCCGCTGTCACAGGCCCAAACACACATGCACGCACACGCACACGCCTCCCACCACACACACACACACACAGACACACTGGCACGCCCACGCTCACGCACACATGCACGCCGACAATACATGACTCCTCCATCAGCCAAACATTAAATTATTCACACAATGCCCAAACGTGTCTCCTACAAAAACAAAGCAGGCTGATAAACGCACAGCTAGAGCGCCGCGCTGCTGCAGCCGGTTTGACCACTAGTCATCCGACGGACAGCAGCCAACGCGCGTCAACAGAGACGCGCCCGGTGGAGTCCAGACCTCAGACACAGGGAGAACATGTGAGAGGAGAGGACCTGCCACCTCTCACATGTCTTCTTTCACCTGTCTCTCTCTCTCTCTTCTGTCTCCTCTATTATGCAAAAGTCGTGCAGAGTATTCAGAGACAGTACTGGTGGCTCAGAGGGTTGCAGGTTTGATTCCTCAGTTTGCATGTTCTTCCTGTGTGTGAGATAACTTTAGTTTGTCTTCAGTTCGCACCCTGTGGAGACTGCTGCGCTTCACCAAAATGGCCGCCACAGAGTTCTTCCCTGGAGATGAAGTCTTGGTGCGAGACCGAGGAGACAGAGAAGCTCTAGACCAGTTCTACAGGCGCGGAAGACTGGTCCACAAAGTCCAGGTAAGGAAGAGGAATGGTCCTCAGAGTCCAGGTGAGGAAGAGGAGTGGTCCTCAGAGTCCAGGTGAGGAAGAGGAGTGGTCCTCAGAGTCCAGGTGAGGAAGAGCAGCATACTTGCGTTATGTCAATAGCTATGCTGCGCTAACATCAAAACTCATGAAAACAGACCAAGATACTGAGCTGTGGTTGTGTCCGTATGGATCTCATGTCCGTTTGTTGTGTCCATATTGGTTCTCATTGTGTGCAGAGCTGCAGGGGATTGTGGGTAGTGGAGTCCTGTGGGTCCCGACAGCTGCTCTCAGCTCTGGACCTGGTTCGGCTTGACCCAGGAAACCTTGAACCCGGAGACCCAGGTGAGGACCAGACTGAGGCCCAGATGAGGACCGGAATAATGTGAGGTTGCGCACTTGTCATGACAGTATTTCTGACTTGGACGTCAGTTCAGATGAAAGCTATCTTCATCTCACATGAACACTGCAGCTATAACCTTGTTACTTAAACCAGACAAAGACCCAACTCAACCCACTAGTTACAGACCCCTATCACTACTTAACACAGATTTAAAAATTATCACAAAAGCACTTGCCTCCAGACTAGAAAAGGTTACTCCACTATCAATAAACCCTGACCAGACAGGATTCATCAAAAATAGAAATTCATCTGACAATCTTCGTAGATTATTCAATCTCATTAACATCTCACAACAATCAAATACCGATACGATCATAACTTCACTCAATGCAGAAAAGGCATTCGACAAGGTAAATTGGACATTTCTATTCTATACACTTCGGCAATTTGGCTTCGGGGAGTCATTCATCCACTGGATCAATGTACTATACACATCACCAAAGGCCACTGTCACTACTAATGGTATTATCTCTTCCACATTCACACTGCATAGGGGCACACGGCAAGGATGTCCACTCTCTCCCTCTCTCTTTGCTTTATTTTTAGAACCCCTTGCAACTGCAATACGGCAAACCAACAGCATAAAAGGAATCAACGTCTCAGGTACACAACACAAAATTAGTTTATACGCAGATGACATTCTCCTCTATCTACAAACTCCACAAGAATCACTACAAGAAACATTTAAAATAATTACCACATACTCATCGATGTCAGACTATAGTATTAACTGGAATAAATCAATAATTCTCCCCCTTTCAGACAATGCTTGGGACTCAGCAGCTCAGGATTCATTTCCTGAAGTGCACACTGGTAATATCAAGTATTTGGGTATAACCGTTTCCTCCAGGCTGACAGAGTTGTTTTCACTTAATCATAACCCAATACTCAAAACAATAGAAGATGATCTGGAACGCTGGACCAATTTACCACTTACACTCATTGGACGAATAGCATCTGTTAAAATGAAAATACTCCCGAAACTAAATTATTTATTCTCTAACATCCCAGTAACCCCTCCCGACAAATGGTTCAATAAACTCAACTCCATGTGCACAAAGTTTTATTGGAAAAACAAAAAAGCTAGAATAAAACTCACCACTTTACAAAAAAACAAAGCTCAAGGCAAACTAGAAGCGCCACATTTCATCCACTACTTTCTGGCCAATCAATTACAGTATCTAGTTAAGTGGACAAAACCATCACACAACAATACATGGATTCAATTGGAACAGTCATACTTCACTCACCTTCCTCTGGCAGATATACCTTCTTTAAATACAACACTGAAAAAACACCCCTGTTTTAAAAGCACAGTCATTTTAACTACTCTGACAGCCTGGTGGAAAACATTAAAACTAACTAACTCCTCCACATCACCCTGTAAATACACTCCCATATGGCACAATCCGGATTTTACAATTAATACAAAACCTCTTCACTACCACATGTGGGAACAAAAGGGCATCACTCACCTACGCCACTTATTCAAAAACAATAAATTCATAACATTCACGCAGCTCAGAGAACAATATCAACTTGACAGCAATAATATTTTTCAATACCTACAAATTAAATCTGTAATTAAAAATAAAATTAACATAAATTATAACACATTAAACCCATCCCAACTATTCGAAAACATAAAGAACATTAAAGAAATTAAAAAACACCTCAAAATTATACCGACATTTCAACTCTGATACAATACATTTACCTACAGAAAAATGGAACATAGATCTTAATACAGAACTCACACAGGAACACTGGACAGAAGCTTGTAAAAACATATTTTCTATGACACCCAACACCAATCTGCAATTAATCCAATATAAAGTCATACACAGGTCACACATCACACAACACAGGATGCATAAAATGGGACTAGCAGATACAGCCATCTGTTCACAATGTACCATGGGGGCCACTGATACCTACCTACATGCACTTTGGGAATGCACTCCTGTACAGGCTTTTTGGAACACTATCACACAAGAACTCTCACACATCCTGAGCTGCAGAGTCCCTTTACTTCCCTCGCTTTGTTTACTAGGTCTCACTTCAACAACAACAATACTGCCTAGACATAAGAACAGTCTACTAACATCCCTAACTGTCGCCAAGAAAATAATACTCCAAAACTGGAAAACAAAGCACACAATCAACATCAATCATTGGACCAACTCTCTTACTCAATACATAACATCCTCTCAAATAGCAGCTCGCCATGATGATGACATGACTTCCTTTACATACTCCTGGTCACCATTCATTAGTCATTTTGACATCAACCCCAATAATTTCTCAACATCAATTTAATCCCCAACACCCAACCACAAATTAATATACCAAAGAGACTAAAAGTGCCACTCACATTCTTATAAATCCTTCACATATAAACAGATGTACATACACAACTGCACACACATGCACGCATACATACACTCTCGCACACCCTCTCCAAATAGATAAGTTAAAATCAGTTACTATTACTATTTATATATGAATTTAGGATCATTTATTTCCAAATATTTATTTATTTGTTTACTTACTTCCTCACGTCGCTGTTGTTGTTGTTATTGTCATTATTGTTATTATAATTGTTATTGTCATTATTGTTATTATAATTGTTATTATAATTATTATTATTTACATTTCCTCTCTCACTTAAATTGGATATCTGAACAAACTATACACATTATATCCAAGATTACAATCAGGTACTGGAAAAGAGAGGAAAGAAGGAAAGAAAAAGAATATATATAACGTTGTGTTTATAAAATAAATGAACAAATCAAATATATATAACATAGAGAACAACAGGGCAGACAAGAAGTGGGCCCGATGTGGGGTATCTCCCACCTCATCGGCCCCACAAATTTCTTGTTTTTTTAATGCACCTCACAGGACTGACAAGAGGACAAGCAGGGCCTGTTGAGTGAGCCCGTCTCGCAGCACGCTCTGCTTTTCATTATTATTATGATTTGTTTGTTTATTTTTGTTAATATTAATTATTGATTTATTATTATTGTCATTTATTCTACTATTATTATTTTTCACCAAAGCCCAGCAAGATAAAATTAGCAATGGGTAATGATTGTGGCAATGACGATGATAATAGTGATGATGATGTGTATATATATAAACCCCTTTTTTTTTTTTTTAGTAAAATATATATAGACTCATTTGACCACATTCGACATAGCACCTATGCACCCCTGCATTGCATACACATTCACATACATATACAGAAACTCCGCAAACCAAGGCTGAACTGAAACAATAAAAAACGCAACCCAAATAATTTTATTTTTTTTACTCTCCCCCTCCCCCCCAACCCCTCCCACCTTAACACCTACTATATTTGTAAACCGTATATATTAGATTTCGAATATAATTTTGTTTTATTTCTTTCTCTTATGTTTTCATTCTTGTAATTGTATTAAAATGTAATAAAGTTAATAAAAAAAAAAAAAAAAAAAAAAAAAAAGAAAGCTATCTTCAAGAACTGAAAATTAGCTTTGGTGCATTTGTGGACATTAGTGCCGAGAACACCAGCGTGTCCTCTCCTCAAACCGAGCACTGTTGCCTTCTCTGTATTAAAACATTTGCTGAAGTCAAAGAGCGAAGGGACTGCTGTTTACACTCTTCTTTCAGTAACCTGCTGCCTCCCAGGGCCATACAAAATACACCCATTTTAAGGAAATTCTTGTTCTCTTTTTCTAGTCTTATTTGCGTCACAGCAGAAGCAATGTCGTAAACACTAAGCGGGAGCTTCGACCCCTACAACTACGTCATCTATTTTCTGACCAATCAGAGGCGTTCATATTGAAAAATTATTTTAGTGGTTTATTCATTATCAATAACACAAAAACACATTGCTAAAGTAGGAAATGCATGTTTTTAATGTGTTTTATCAGAAAAAAAAGTTGGTAATAAAGATGTGCCCCTTTTTTAATCTGTTGTTTAGCACTCTGTGATCCTGGGGTTTATATTGTGATATTGTCTTTGTTAATCCAGATACGAGCCATTTAGTGATTGACCAATCAGATACCTTCTTTCACAGGGGACACTACAGCTTGACTTTGGAACGTGACGCTAAGGCTGTGGAACAAATGCCCATATAAGGAAGCTGGCTCCAGTTAGCTTATGTTGAAAATGGCTTCCTCTGCATTAACACTATGGTGATGTCACACTTGGCCTCTCCTCTACAGTTTGTGGAGGAGAGAGCAGGAGGTGACACACTCAGAGTGAGGGGCTTTGCTTAAGTTATTGTGAAGGCCATTCATTGCCGCTTGCAGCTGTAATTTAGTTTTCTTCTCTCACAGAGCAGACGCCAGCCTGCTGTCAATCAAGCACCTGTTACGACAGCAATCACATCTGTTCATTAGCCACAAGCCCCGCCCCCAGGTAAAATGTAAATGTTCACTTTGTTTTCTCCCTGTAGGGAACAAAATGTCCTCTGCATTTGACCCATCCTGATGCCACTTCAGGCCTCTGTCAGTAGCGGTGGTCACCATAGTCTCTAGATGCTGATGCTCTGCTTGGTCAGGACTACATGAGCTGGAGCGCATGTTTCTAGTGATAGGTAAAAATGGAGGGTGGAACAAGCAAACTCCACATTGAAAGGTCCTGAAGGTGGAAATTAACACAGGACCTTCTCGTTGTGAAGTGAAGTGATATCCACTGCACCACCGTAGGTTAAAGTTCCGCCCTCTCCATAAATCAATCTGGTCCACATGGATCTGGTTTCTGTTCACAGCTGCTGTCGGGCATCCATCTGTTGTTATGACAACAGTCTCATCAGTTGGCCCTCATCCTGTCACCACGGCGGCCGCACCACCTGCCCCCAGTACCGAACCAGGACTCAAACTGGTCCAAACAAGTCTGGACTAGGACTACAGACTGAACTAGGACTACAGACTGGACCAGGACTACTGTCTGGACCAAGACTTATGTCTGGACCAAGACTACAGTCTGGACCAAGACTACAGTCTGGACCAAGACTACAGTCTGGACAAGGACACAGGTCTGGACCCAGACCCACGTATGGACAAGGGTCTGGTTCAGTTTTCTCGACCTGTGAGGACGACGAGTCCGTGCAGAGCACAGAGAGCAAACGGCGCCCCCCCTGGAGGAACTGGAGAAGGACAGGACCAGAACCACATCACAAGAGACCAGGTCTGCACCGGGTGGTAAACAAGACTGGACCAGGACTGAGCCAGTTCTAAACAGGTTCTGGACCGGGACTGGACTGGAACTCAACAGGTCTGAATCAGATCTTTTCTGTAGGTGGTGCAGTCTCCTGCTCCTCGCCGCAGGTCTGTTACGTCTCGTTCCCGTCGGCTCAGAGCAGAGCTTCAGCCAATTACAGCAGCGCCCTGTTCCTGCCACTGACCAATCTCATGAGGAGGAATATCCAAACACAGGCCCCGCCCTCTGCCGGCTACAGCCAATCACAGCAGCATCTGTGAAACAACTGTATTTGTGACTGCAACAGTACATACTTTACACACATTTAAAAATAAACTTTATTTAAAAAGTGCAGATATAAAGTGTGTTTCATAAAGTTTATAATTGAACCATGATTTGTTTAATACTGTTTAAAATAAATAAAAATCCTGACTTTGAACCTGAGTGACAGCTATGCCCTCACTGTCCACAAATGAAATCCTCCTGGTTCTCAAGTTCATAGGCCTTTTACAGATAAGTGCTAGCTTATAAGAGCTAGCATGTGTTAGCCACATTAGCAAGAACTAGCCTGTGTTAGCCATGTTAGCGGTATCAGGAAGAGCTACCCGGCGTCAGCAACAGTTACCCCGAGTTAGCAAGAGTTATCCCACGTCATCAAGAATTAGACGCATAAGTAAGAGTTAGCCTGTATTAGCCAAGATGGCTATCATGGGCTACTCTTGCTATGTTAGCCTGTGAGTTAGTTAGCTTTAGCTCGTGTTAGCCATTAAGCTCATTTTCACAACAGTCTTTTCCTTGAGATTGGGACATTCCCACAAGTCAGACACATCAGAATCAAAACCACAAGCTCTAAAGGCCCCAGAGAGACTATAACACATGTTTATAGTGATCTGTTTATGAGGCCGACTCTGAGCTCCTCCTCACAGCTCAAACCTCAAGAGGGCGCTCTCCCCATGACTGAGGGAGACCTGCCGAGAATGTTGCCGTGGTGACCGGTGGTGGGAGGCGGTGATGGAGTACAAGCCAGGCCGGACCAGAACCTGGAAGTCCTGCAGAGAGGAAGAAGAGTTATAACGGAATATGACCAGGATTAGAACTAACTCACACAAGCTCCATGAGGATTAGAGCTGTATATACTGTGGTGTGGACCTTTGCTTCTTACCGGAGCGTCTGTTAAGGAGGGGGGCGAGGGCTGATGGGAAGGGAGCGGGGCCATGGGCGAGGTGGGCGTAGTCAATGGTGGTGTAGGTGGAGCCATGGAGGAGTGAAACCTGCAGACATGCGACTGCTCCGAGTGCGACAGAGCGGAGAGAGACATGTGGAAACTCTGGAACACAAGGTCAGAGATCAGGGTCCGAGTCAGAGGTCAAGGTCAGAGGTAGGGCTGGGCGATTAATCGATTTTAATCATTAATTCGAGTTTTACGTTTAGGGCGATTTCTTTTTTTAAAAATTCGATTTTTATTTTCTCCAGCGCAGAACTACAGCGCTAACGCGCTAACCGCGGGTCTATGGTGTTGAGCAGTCATTTTGAAGCTAACCTAATGCTAACAGTCTCCCTCTGGCCTGATGCTCGCTCTCACAGTTGGTGCTGTTGCAATAACACTTCAAACGTTCAAGAATCAGACTTTATTTAAATCGCCAGAACACACACACACACGCACGCAGGCTCCGGTCGCCATGTTTGTACGCCATGTTCGTACGCCACATCTTTCACGCTCTCTCACGCTTGTTATTCCAAAGCGCACTCCCGTGTCTGTGGCGCGCACACACTCGTGTCCCACTGAGCCGCTGCACTTTGGGGAAAGACACGTCTCACACATTGCTCTCATTGCTCTGATACAAACAACGTGTTCCCCGCTGTCTGTTAGCTACAGTAGCTGCTACAGTAGCTGTTAGCTACAGTAGATGCTACAGTAGCTGTTAGCTACAGTAGCTGCTACAGTAGCTGTTAGCTACAGTAGATGCTACAGTAGCTGCTAGCTACAGTAGCTGCTACAGTAGCTGTTAGCTACAGTAGATGCTACAGTAGCTGTTAGCTACAGTAGCTGCTACAGTAGCTGTTAGCTACAGTAGCTGCTACAGTAGCTGTTAGCTACAGTAGATGCTACAGTAGCTGTTAGCTACAGCATCAGAATGTAAACAGGAAGCTCGCACAATGCGGGAGTCACTGAAGTTAGTATTAGCGCCACCAGCTGGACCGAGCGTTGTACTACAGCACAGTTACTCAGGCACAGTTGAAAGAACAAGCATGAAAACCCGAGGAGGCTTTTGGAAAAGACTGTCTGTTACAACATTTCTACTTTGAGTAATCAGTTTTAAAAATGTGATATTTCATGTAAATAATGCATGTGTTTAATAGGATTGATATATTTGCGATGGGCCTTGTTTGTGTGATTTAAGTTATTTTGAAGGTGCATAGTGTCATTGTAAGTGAAGTTATTATAAAACTGTTAAGCTACATTTTCACTGTTTACAATGGCAGAGCCATCTCGTTTACAAGCATGTTTTAAGGCTTAATTCCTGTTACACTTATGCTCCATGGGGATTTAGATTAAACTGCATAAAGGAAAATCTATTTCTTTGTCAGTTGTAGTTTGTTTTTAAATAGAAAAAAATAAATCGATTAAAATCGAAAATCGGATTTGGTGTGAAAAAATCGGAGATTTTTTTTTTTTGCCATATCGCCCAGCCCTAGTCAGAGGTCAGAGTCTGACCTGACAGAGCGTTGTGGTTTGAGACATGAGCTCAGAGAAACTGGCGAAGACTTCAGTCAGTGCAGCAGCTCTCTGAAAACACAAGTGAGGCTCCTGATGACAGCTCTACAGAGACACTAGCTCCTGATGACAGCTCTACAGACACTAGCTCCTGATGACAGCTCTACAGACACTAGCTCCTGATGAAAGCTCTACAGACACTAGCTCCTGATGACAGCTCTACAGACACTAGCTCCTGATGACAGCTCTACAGAGACACTAGCTCCTGATGACAGCTCTACAGACACTAGCTCCTGATGACAGCTCTACAGAGACACTAGCTCCTGATGACAGCTCTACAGACACTAGCTCCTGATGACAGCTCTACAGAGACACTAGCTCCTGATGACAGCTCTACAGAGACACTAGCTCCTGATGACAGCTCTACACAGACACTAGCTCCTGATGACAGCTCTACAGACACTAGCTCCTGATGACAGCTCTACACAGACACTAGCTCCTGATGACAGCTCTACAGAGACACTAGCTCCTGATGACAGCTCTACAGAGACACTAGCTCCTGATGACAGCTCTACAGACACTAGCTCCTGATGACAGCTCTACACAGACACTAGCTCCTGATGACAGCTCTACAGACACTAGCTCCTGCTCCTGATGACAGCTCTACAGACACTAGCTCCTGATGACAGCTCTACAGACACTAGCTCCTGATGACAGCTCTACAGACACTAGCTCCTGATGACAGCTCTACAGACACTAGCTCCTGATGACAGCTCTACAGACACTAGCTCCTGATGACAGCTCTACAGACACTAGCTCCTGCTCCTGATGACAGCTCTACAGAGAGACTAGTTCCTGGTGACACCAAAGAGACACTAGTGTAGCTCCTGATGACAGCTAGTGGAGGCATCTGCACAAATACCATAAAGCTTCAGTCTTTCAGTCTGCATCTTTAAGACCATAATGGATCTCTGCAATAAACCCATGCACCTGGCTCTAAAACAGTTGCTTCTATCACTAGTTTTCACATCATGTATTTTTGACCTATGTCACATCTTTAGATCAGCTTGCTCAGACAGAAAAGTGAAAATGAGAGGACCATCCACTCTCGACCAATTAGCCCCAGCCCTGTGAGTCAAATAATGACCCACATGGCTCTTTTTCACAAAAATTAAAGTTAACATTTACAAATACGATGAAGGCAGCTTGGCTCATGATTCTAGTAACCTGTTCTCTCTGGGATGACGAGTCTATGGGTTGGACCCGGGTACAGTCTGTGGTCCCTGGTCTGGACCGTGGTCCGGTATAGTCTGTGGTCCCTGGTCTGGACTGTAGACTGGTCTGGCTCCAGTCCACTCTGCGTTCAGAAGCTCGCTCCAAAACGTCCAACGCCAAAACCAGCGAGCGGCGGAGAGAGGCGTCCAGAGAGTCAGCCATCTGAGACAGAAAACACTGAGGTTACTACTGCTGCTACAACAGGTCGAAATCAGGACTAGAGCAGTAATAGAGCAGGTCTATAGCAGGACAACAGGAGGATAACAGCAGGTCTAAACGCACCTCTCTGGACACACGTGTTTCTCGTCGACACAGAGCGGCGTTAGTGACGCCGGTTTAAAACATGTTTTAAATTCGCTCGTTTGTGTTCCATTAAAAACAGGAAGTAAACACAAGCTCCGCCCACACGACCTTTTCATTACCGCATGAGAACTTTATTGAAATCATAGAACAGAGGTTCCCAAACTTTTCAGTCCATGAAAGCCATGATGTAAAATTTAATATAGTAATTTGAAACATCAAAACAAACAGTTTCGTTTATTTTAGTCAGTATTTTTGCTTACGCAGCGTTTTTACTGCTGTAGCCACAGCTGCCCTGGGACAGACTGACAGGAGGCAACCAGTATTATGTGCTATCAGCCCATCACCCACAGACCTGCACCAGATAGCTCTTCAGAGACACTCGCTCCTGATGACGCAGCAGTTATTTCCAGGCATGATAAAACAGTGCGGAATAGCAAGAACCTCCGCTACTACCGCGTTCACAACACACGTAAACAAACTGTACTGCCGCCACCGGTGCGCAGCCAATATGTCGGCAAAGGGGGGATGGGGAGGGGGGACTCTGTGCCGTGACGTCAACTCCTCATTCTCAATAGAGATACTACAAACACAGAATTAAAATCTTGTCTTTTATTATTTACAATAGGCATAAATATGTCACATTTTCTGATTAAAACAGAACATCATGATTTTGTGGTTTAAGGCAGAAGTTTCTTGCGGCGGTGAGTTTTGGTCGACGCACGACTGAGAGGCTTTCCGAAGGGAGAGATGTCCGGGTCAAACACGTTCCCAGAGTGTCCTGGAAACAAAAACATGTGTTATTTCAAACCAAACTCGCACTTGTCCGTCCGTCCCCCCCCCCCCCTTACTGGTCCCCCCCCCTCCCTTACTGCCCGCCCCCCTCTCACCAGTCAGTCTCTTGTCACTGCATCTACGCTTCACCTGTCCCTCTGGGGGTGCTCCCTCTGGTGGCAGATGTCTTGAATAGCAGGGGGGAGCTGGTCAGAGCAAGAATCCCACTGACGGTCACTGGTTTCCTCTTCCTGGAGCTTGGAGGAGTCTCAGCTGCAGGAGACAGAGTTTGTGATGAAAGCGAAGCCTCAGGTCCTCAGACACGTGCCCCTCTATGTCCCGCAAACTGGGACAGCTCTGATCGACAGACCACAATAGAAACACAATTCTCTCCAGGACCTGATCCTGAACGTACAGACTTAAGAGAGGAGTGTGATCCTGCCTCCTTCTGAAAGAGGGACCACCAACTCCACCTGCAGCTCCAGAGAAATGCGACAGTCACCGAGACCTGCTCTTGGAAACGCAAGATGCCACCTATGTTGTCGTGGTGACAGTCCTCACCTGTGTCTTTACTCACAAACGCATCGTCCTCCATACACTCCGCCCACAGGAGCTCGGGGGACTTCCTCTGCTCCTCCTCTGGCTCCTGCAGTCTGCCCACTCCCAGTTCGCACTGCAACACCTCCACTTGGTCGTCCTGTGACCTGCAGCACTGCGCCTCCTCCATCTGAAAAGAGTTAAAGCTGATGTACCCAACTTTCATAACTACAACAAAAAGTGTCTTATAAACGTATGTTTTTGTCTGTAAAAAGAGGTCTAAAGCAAGTCTACAGCAGGTCTCCAGCTGGACTAAAGCAGGTGTACAGCAGGTCTCCAGCTGGACTAAAGCAGGCCCAAAGCAGGCCCAAAGCAGGCTCAAAGCAGGTTTAAAGCAGTTCCTCACCTTCTTGGGTCCTGGCCGCTGCACTGCAACCCTCTTTTTGCGCGGCCAGCTGTTCAGATCTGGTGTGTGTTTCCCTGCACTCTGTGGCGAAGGGGTGAGCGCAAATGTGTCTGCGGTGGCAACGGGCGAGCGCTGTGTCCGAGTGGGCGTGTCCAAGCACGGAGTGGGCGTGTCTGAGCTCGTGTACGATTGACAGATGAACGTCTGCGTCGGCTCGTTCCTCTTTGCTGGAGTTCTGTGTGTGCAGACCGACGGAGACATGCTCTTCCTTGGCGCAGCAGAACTTGCCGCGTCGGAGTCCGTGCGTTTGAACCTCAATTTGGGAACCCCTGAAGTCTGCATCTCCATCTGCACCTCGTACGTCAGTACGGCAGCTTGTTTGCGGCCTGTGCGCGGTGTCCAGGAGCGTGTGGGGAACTCTGTGGCGTAACCCAGACGCACTGCCGCCTCGCGCTGACGGCGGTCCGGAGTCTGGCGGAAACCGTAGTTTCTCGGAGGCAGTGTGTGGTCCGAGAGATCGTCTGTATCCGAGAGTTCGCCTGTGTTTGATGGTTTTCGCGAGAAACTAATATTCATTTTGAGGCCCTGCGCTTTGACCACGGCTGCGTTCACAATCTCCACGCTGTCGTCGTCTGTAGAAGTGTGTTTGGAGCTTTCTGTCTGAAATTTGTCTTCAGATTTCTGACTTGCTTGGGAATCCTCCTGGCTCGAGCTCTCTTGAGAATTTGCCGAATTCTCATAGTTTTCTGGTGGAGCTGAACTAGTCCTCCTATTCCTCAAAATGGATTGTTGTTCAAGCCCTAAATCTCCACTCTTCAGGTTCAAAACACTCCCATATGAGTCTTGCCGTTTCCCATTAGCCTTAGGTGACATTTCCTCCTCTCTTTGATTCAAATCATCAGAAAGAGTTTGAGTTCTCGTTATCAGTTGGCTCTGCTCATATGCAGACACTGATTTGTTTTTTCTTTGTTTTAATGAATCTTCTTTTAAATCATCTGCCAGCTCCAGGTCTTCAGCTCCAGTGTTAGTAGTTGAGCGTTTGGTCTGCTCAGAGTTACAGTCGCAGAGACCGTCATTGGGCCGTGACCGTAAACTTCGTGTTGATATCGGAACAGTCCCGTTTCTAGAACCTATTTCTTTCAAACGATCCAAGTCGTTGCTGGATCTTAATTCCCGCTTTGTCTTTCTCCCTTTTAAGTCTTCGTCGGCACAGTTCAGAGCGGTGTCTCTTCTCGTGATTCTCATTTGTGGCGGTGAAAACTCTTCTGAAGATGGCAAGTTCAGTTTGGGGCTATTTCCTTCAGTACGCCTTTGTGTGGGCGACTTCTGACTTCGAAAACATGCAACACTCTCTGGGTCCTTCTGCTGACGAGAGCTCCAGTTCCTCCCCCTCGTTTGCGGAGCTTTTCCAGGCAGCGTTCCCTCGTTCTGAAGTTTGGGACTGAATCGGACGTTCTTCTTGAGTGAAGGCGGCGTTCCCACGGTTCTGTTCTTGGGAGAATCTTCCTCCAGTTTCTCCAGACTCACTTGACAAGCGAAAACGTCCTTTGGCAGCTTGTCCGGAGTCTTCAACACTTTGACGCGGTATCCAAACTTGTCTGGAGTTTTGAGAGTAAAGGCGTGAAGCTTTGGAGACTCCAGGGGGTCTGTGAAGTGCAGGCTCTGGGCGGCCTGCGGGAGCGGAGACCAGGTCACGGTCTTCTTGGGTGTGTGGAGGTGCTTGACTGGCGTCTTCAGAATACTCTTGAGTGGACTGCTCTTCTCGGGGGTCTCACAAACCAGCGGCGCTCTGAAGGGGCTCTTGGGGGATTTGAAAGGACTGTTCCCCGTCATTTGTGAAGACAAGGGTGTTTTGGGAGTTCCGGAAACACTGCGGCGACCAGGGGACTTGGTGGGAGTTCTGTTTGGACTCTAGAACAAAGAGAACGATATTAATATAATATTCAAATCAGTCAACATCTCTGACATTGTTTAAAAAAGTAGAAAAAGCTTAGTAGTTTTAAAGCAAAGCGTTTGGATAGAAGGGGTGGGGAGATGGTTGTGTCCGGAGTTCCTGATATTAGTGTGAAGGATACAACTTCAAAGGCCTCATTCATAAAATTTTACAATGTTTCTCTCTGGTCCCCCTCTCTCTAATCCCTCTCTGGTCCACCTCTGAGAAAATGTGAAATAAGAGAAATGCTTTAGATGATCCTTTGTGCAGAGAGCTCACCTGGAAGACGCTGGAGTTGGAGGAGGTCCTGGTTCTGTGGGGGCTTCGCGTGGCTCCAAACAGCAGCCGGATGGGAGACCGCACAGAGCTCACATTCAGCTCCTCTATAGTGACAAGCGGCTGCGAGCTGGAGTAGAACGAGTGACGCCGAGAAAACTGCTTCAGACGAGGACTCCTGCGAAGATCTGAGAAGAAAATCATGTTTGAAGACTGTAAAGTACAAGCCCAGACAAGAGGACAAGCATTACCATGAAGCCTAACAGGGAAGCGCTCATGATGAAGTCTAACTCATATTGACGTACATGTAAGAAAACGTCTCTAGCTCAGTAACATGTGCGTTGTTTAACGCCCAGTGATACTGGTGTTTATATTGTTGTATTATCTTTGTAAATCCAGACATGAACCCCAACAGCCAACCAATCAGGAGTCTTCAGTCCACAAATTGAACTTCAGCAGCAAATAGTGTGAGAAACAGACCAGCCCCACTCCCGATTGCCCTTTAGTTGCTAGGTTGCTGCTTCTCAAAATATTTGGCTCCATATCTCCTCATGGAGCCTGTGTGAGTTAGCTATAATCCACATGTACCTTCAGTGGGTTTGACTGGAGACTCCTCGATGATGCTTTCGTCTGTCGTGGTGGACCTCCTGCACAAACGAAACACACACTTAGCTTCAGACACGCACACACACACACGTCTTTCACCTCCCCCTCTCTTCCCAACCTCCACACCCCGTCTCTCACCTCCCCATCCTTTGCCGCAGCAGGAGTCTGCCTGACACCTGTTTGTGCAGCGGCGTCTCACACACCTTCTTCGTCAGTAGTTTATGACGCTCTGAACACAAAACATACTTATAATGAGACACACAAGAACACTGATACAAAATGCTGTTTTCGTCTTATTAGAAAACATGTAATCTTAGCAGGGGCTGGTGCTATGTGTACTGGGTGCAGCTCTGACTGCCACCCCCCGACCCAGAAATGGATTAAGGGGAAAAAAATGGATCAATGGATGGATGGATGGATGTAATCTTAGCTTAATGAGTCACAATTTGACTCATTGGGCTGACAGTTAAGGTGACAGTGTTAAAAGTAGTGATAGAAGCAACGGTTTTAGAGCCAGGAACTTCAGACTTGGGTTACAGAGGTCTATAGATGTGGTATGAAAGTGGCGTACCTCAGCTTTAAAGTTGATGTGGTTGAGGTAATTAATTGGGGGGTAAAGCAGGAACTAAATAGAATATAAACAGTCACACTATTGAATCTTGGGGGGCCCCTTTTTTACCTGGTATCAATTAAACTATGTTGTAAAACCCGGCCTGCAACCCGGCCAAAAAGAGAAATTGGAGAGACCAGAGAGAGAATCCCTCTATGCTCTACTGGGTTGCAGAGTTTACCGTCAGAGTGGCTGCGTTTGCGCTTCAGACCCTCCAGCGCAGACACACTGCGGCTGCGTGGGAGCTTCTGTCTCTTGGACGGAGACGTACTTTCCTGCATGAAGAGGTTCCGGCGCACTTTGGTCACCTCTGAAAGAAGACACTCATGAGACCAATCAGAGACACAAACACAGATGCCATGATCCCACATTCTCACCCTGTGCACCCTGGGGCTCCTCACTGCTCTGGGGTATGGACACTTCTGCAGGCTTCTCACTGGGCCTGGACTTCACCTGCACAAACACATGGTGAAAATATGTTATGACTTAAACTTGACCAGAGACCATTAAAGCAAAGATCATTATAAGCTAGTTAGTGAGAGTCCCTTGTACAAGATATCTCATGTTCCAGCCACCTTTAAGCCTAGTGTATAGTAGCGCGGCGCTTTCAGTGGTGACGTAACTTGCGCAACGCAAGGATTACCGCAAGACCCTTGGTTGTTTTTGCTGAATACAATTTAAGAATAACTGTTTCCAACAATAACAAAGTCTTTATTCACAGCATCACAGTTGAAATGACTTTTTAAATAATGAGTCCATAGAACTGTCACATAAACCTACACTAGAAACACATGTAATGAGCTCAAGCAGCTTGGTTTGCTAATGTGGAGAAAGTAGCAGCGTAAATGGGACCTGTTTGGTTTTCCAGGCAACTCCTGTGAGTTCGCCATCACGTGGTTGGGTGTGGGATTACAGCATTCTCTTCAAAACTCTGCAGGAGGAAAGCGCAAGTGTATCAGCAACTGTGGCTGCGTAGGTCTAGCGCAACCGCAACCACCGCCGCACGAGTATACACTAGGCTTTAGGGCCATGCGGCGTCAACGCACCCTCAGAGCAGAGCCTTCATTATTGTTCCATTATGTGAATATGTTCTAAACATCTGCACTGTATTTCTATACTAAGGCTGTCAAAGGATTACATTTTTTATCGAGTTAATTAAGGCTTAAAAATTAAGTAATCGCATTTCAAACTATCGGCAAAATTATACAATACTTTTCTGTAAATGGTTGTTTGAATGGAAAGATAAATGACAACATAGTGTACATATGTACTGTATTTGTTTATTATAACAATAAATAATATAATAATAATAATAATAATAATAAATAAATCCAGATAAAATGGGATTAACATTACTAACATTCTTTCTTTCTGAAGGAGACAGTAATTTTAAATTTTTTGATCCCATTTCATTATTGTGCATCCAGCTGGTGGCTTGTAGAAGGTCGAGGGACGCTACTCTCAATGTTTTAGCAAGACCCTTATCTTCAACTATGCTAATCGGTCCAGGCCTGGACTGGGACTTAAAAAACGTTTCTTTCATGTTTTTTTCAACGTTATTCATATGGTATGTGGACCACATACTATAGAGGATGCATGTAGTTTCAACAATTGAAATAAAGTGCAATAGCCTACGTTACAAGATAGTAATAAACATGTCACTACACAGACTGAGGAAGATGGCACAGACCAAAAGTATTGTTTGTTACAGGAATGAGAATGGGACTTTCAAAAAGGTCTGAAATGCATCATATCAGCCATTGGCTGTCATTAAATTTGATTGATTTGCTCAGAACATTTGAAAGGGAAAAATTAGGTACCCCAGCTTTAATTTAGCGTGTTTAGTTGCACTTTCTGAGGCTTCATAGTGCACAGGTTACGCAAAGACACGCACACAACAAGCAGAGAATAGTTTGGTGCGTGTCTTGGATATGACGTTACAGCGGCGCCATTCGCCGTGTTGTTGTCAAAGCGGCTCACAGCCGCTGGAGGAGGGCACTGCTGTCCAGAGCGGCCGTGGAGAATGCAGACTCCCATTCAGTACATACAGCAAAAAACTGCAAACAGCAAGTCCCCCGTGGTCACGAGCGTATTCTTTTTAAACTTAGTTCCCAGAGGGCCTACCTGCTCTGTCGCCTACACACACATGTGCCCGCGGCTCTAAGTGTTATTACGGGATGCATGGGCGAGTCATTCGGCATATGCGTTAATTTTTTCAACGCAATTCATTAAAACATTTAATTAACGTGATAATTTTGAGAGCCCTACTTACTACACAAACCCAGTAGCGTTATAGACACGTCACAAACCAGAGAGAGAGAGAGACCAGAAAGAGAGAAAAGAACAGAGGTGTTCATAGTGGTTCCTCACCACAGCGGGGCCTCTCCTCTTGGGCAGCGTGACCTCAATCTGTCTCTGGGAGCTCTCCGTCAGACTTCGGTGACGCGTCAACATCCCGCTCCTGTAAGGCAAGTTTATTCTTATAGCACAGTTCATACTCAATGGCAGGGGTCGGCAATTGTCTGGAGCAGCAAAAAAATAATAGCCTTGAATAAGGCGCATATTAAGGTAACACAGGCTGAAGCAGTATTAGCCTAATATCTAAATGACAAAGTAAAGGCTACAAATACATAATAAGCATTCATGATTATCAAATGTGTATTTTCACTGCAGTGTGTCCTGGTGAGAATGACGCACCACGTGACGACTGATTTAAATTCAACTTCCATTTTTTTGCCTTAATGCAATTGTAGAAAGACAGTAAATACATCAGATTTTTGGCTAAGCGTTCACCTGCCTCACAGCACTTTGTTCATATCGATCACAGGCTGAAGTTTGCTGGAGCTGAATTAATGTCCTTAATGGCCCTTTCTTTCACCTCCTTGCGGCGGTTTTTGAATACTGAAAATAGGTGCTCTGAATTTTAGATAAATGAATCTTTCAGAAATCTTTGGATTTCTGGTAGTCCTCTTTTTGGGCTTGGAGCGATCCGGTTCTACCGTAAATTTGGAGGCATGGCTTCTCATAAAATTTCCGAGAAGCTGCCCAACGAAATTGAAGAAAGATACAAGGAGTTGACCCATGTGGTGGTTGAGAACGCTGTGGGAGCACAAAGGAGAGTGTTACAGGTCGAACATTTGCTTAAAAGATCTTGCAATGCGATCTCTGGATGGACATAAAACGATCGAGATGAAGTTGAACGAGATTGTCTGCCAGAGCTGAACTCTGTCTCCATATGAAAAGGCCCTGTGTACGGAGGTTACGGAGGGCACCAGAAATTAGTTTAGTTTATTTATTTAAGATGACAAGGACAGTGCACAATAAACATTAACCTCAAAAGGAGAGATGCATTGTACCAGGTCATAGCTCAAGAGCTAATTTCCACCTGTAGTCCCTGGGCAGGCTGATGTTATATCACATTAAAAAATAACACACGTTCATGGATGTAGTTTACATTTGGCCAAAATACAAGTCTTTACATGCACAATTTGTTTAAAACTCATTCATATCACTCATTTATACTGGTCAAACACAAACACTCCCCCCCCCCCTCTCTCACACACACACACACACACTACACATGAGTGCACGTTTGGTTTGATAATAACCATTTCTTTAGAAGGCGTGAGAACATGTAAGCATTGGTGCTTGCTATCAGCTGTGGGCAGCATGTTCCACTGACGAATGGTCACACAGTCCACACATTCGGTTCAATTGGATCTATAGCATATTTGCCAGTGTTTTGATCTGCTACATTGCTCACATAAATTGTCCCTTTTGGCAAATGTATTTTTCTCTGCGTCTGCGGCTCCTCTCCTAATCTTTCCACATTCCATTGGCCAAGGCCGAAGTTGATAACAGGACTACAACAAGCTCACACTCTACAGCTACCCAGCTCTGGACTAGGGATGTAAAAAACTATGAATTTTCATGACCGACCACCGAGCCTCATTAACCGGTTGAAACCGGTTAACCGCGTAGTTTAAAATAGTCCACGTTCTTTGAAATAACAGCCATTTCGAGCCGCGTACTTTCCATAAGTGCAGCTCTGCGTTCTACTGGATCAGAGTTGAGACAGCGGCGCCCAAACCCGCAACAGCTCCGGCACCTTTGCGCACAGAGAACTGCTTTTTTAATCTTCCCATTCTGCTGTGCTGCGGGTTAATACCAAAACTTTCTAGCAGCAAACGACAGCTCGTTCACATGGTCAGAGCAGCGAGTGACGAGCCGCGTCCCACAGGTCTTCACAAAAGTTTAAATACAAGTGATGTGTGTGGAGCTGATCCCGAGGACCATAAACACAAACATGTTCCATGTGGTTTGACTGGAGCCGCGTATTTGCGCGAATCCTTTGGGCTCCGTGACACAGAGGAGCGCGACAGACCGGTATGTATATGTAAGCTCCAATGTAGTTCTGACCCGCGCCAGTGTGCAACTTTGACGGTAACAGAGATAGTGAGATAGTGAGTGAGTGAGTGAGATAGTGAGTGAGTGAGATAGTGAGTGAGTGAGATAGTGAGTGAGTGAGATAGTGAGATAGTGAGTGAGATAGTGAGATAGTGAGTGAGTGAGATAGTGAGTGAGATAGTGAGATAGTGAGTGAGTGAGATAGTGAGTGAGTGAGATAGTGAGTGAGTGAGATAGTGAGTGAGTGAGATAGTGAGTGAGTGAGATAGTGAGTGAGTGAGATAGTGAGTGAGTGAGATAGTGAGTGAGTGAGATAGTGAGTGAGTGAGATAGTGAGTGAGTGAGATAGTGAGATAGTGAGTGAGTGAGATAGTGAGATAGTGAGTGAGTGAGATAGTGAGATAGTGAGTGATAGTGAGTGAGATAGTGAGTGAGTGAGATAGTGAGTGAGTGAGTGAGATAGTGAGTGAGTGAGATAGTGAGTGAGTGAGTGAGATAGTGAGTGAGAGAGATAGTGAGTGAGAGAGATAGTGAGTGAGTGAGATAGTGAGTGAGTGAGATAGTGAGTGAGTGAGATAGTGAGTGAGTGAGATAGTGAGTGAGTGAGATAGTGAGTGAGTGAGATAGTGAGTGAGTGAGATAGTGAGTGAGTGAGTGAGATAGTGAGATAGTGAGTGAGTGAGATAGTGAGTGAGATAGTGAGTGAGATAGTGAGTGAGTGAGAGAGTGAGTGAGATAGTGAGTGAGTGAGAGAGTGAGTGAGATAGTGAGATAGTGAGTGAGATAGTGAGTGAGATAGTGAGTGAGATAGTGAGTGAGTGAGAGAGTGAGTGAGATAGTGAGTGAGATAGTGAGTGAGATAGTGAGTGAGTGAGAGAGTGAGTGAGATAGTGAGTGAGTGAGAGAGTGAGTGAGATAGTGAGTGAGATAGTGAGTGAGTGAGAGAGTGAGTGAGTGAGTGAGTGAGTGAGTGAGTGAGTGAGATAGTGAGATAGTGAGTGAGATAGTGAGTGAGATAGTGAGATAGTGAGTGAGTGAGTGAGATAGTGAGTGAGATAGTGAGTGAGTGAGAGAGTGAGTGAGATAGTGAGTGAGTGAGATAGTGAGTGAGTGAGATAGTGAGATAGTGAGTGAGATAGTGAGATAGTGAGTGAGATAGTGAGATAGTGAGTGAGTGAGTGAGATAGTGAGTGAGATAGTGAGATAGTGAGTGAGTGAGTGAGATAGTGAGTGAGTGAGTGAGTGAGTGAGATAGTGAGTGAGTGAGATAGTGAGTGAGATAGTGAGTGAGTGAGTGAGATAGTGAGTGAGTGAGATAGTGAGTGAGATAGTGAGTGAGTGAGAGAGTGAGTGAGATAGTGAGTGAGATAGTGAGTGAGTGAGATAGTGAGATAGTGAGTGAGTGAGATAGTGAGATAGTGAGTGAGTGAGATAGTGAGATAGTGAGTGAGATAGTGAGTGAGATAGTGAGTGAGTGAGAGAGTGAGTGAGATAGTGAGTGAGATAGTGAGTGAGTGAGAGAGTGAGTGAGATAGTGAGTGAGTGAGAGAGTGAGTGAGATAGTGAGTGAGATAGTGAGTGAGTGAGAGAGTGAGTGAGTGAGTGAGTGAGTGAGATAGTGAGTGAGTGAGTGAGTGAGTGAGATAGTGAGTGAGTTAGTGAGTGAGTTAGTGAGTGAGATAGTGAGTGAGATAGTGAGTGAGTGAGAGAGTGAGTGAGATAGTGAGTGAGTGAGATAGTGAGTGAGTGAGTGAGTGAGTGAGATAGTGAGTGAGATAGTGAGTGAGATAGTGAGTGAGATAGTGAGATAGTGAGTGAGTGAGTGAGAGAGTGAGTGAGATAGTGAGTGAGTGAGTGAGAGAGTGAGTGAGATAGTGAGTGAGTGAGATAGTGAGTGAGTGAGATAGTGAGTGAGATAGTGAGATAGTGAGTGAGATAGTGAGATAGTGAGTGAGATAGTGAGATAGTGAGTGAGATAGTGAGATAGTGAGTGAGATAGTGAGATAGTGAGTGAGTGAGTGAGTGAGTGAGTGAGATAGTGAGTGAGTGAGATAGTGAGTGAGTGAGATAGTGAGTGAGTGAGATAGTGAGATAGTGAGTGAGATAGTGAGATAGTGAGTGAGTGAGATAGTGAGTGAGTGAGATAGTGAGTGAGTGAGATAGTGAGATAGTGAGTGAGATAGTGAGATAGTGAGTGAGATAGTGAGATAGTGAGTGAGATAGTGAGATAGTGAGTGAGATAGTGAGATAGTGAGTGAGTGAGTGAGTGAGATAGTGAGTGAGTGAGATAGTGAGTGAGTGAGATAGTGAGTGAGTGAGATAGTGAGATAGTGAGTGAGATAGTGAGATAGTGAGTGAGTGAGTGAGATAGTGAGTGAGATAGTGAGATAGTGAGTGAGTGAGTGAGATAGTGAGTGAGATAGTGAGTGAGTGAGTGAGATAGTGAGTGAGTGAGATAGTGAGTGAGTGAGATAGTGAGTGAGTGAGATAGTGAGATAGTGAGTGAGATAGTGAGTGAGTGAGTGAGATAGTGAGTGAGTGAGTGAGTGAGATAGTGAGTGAGTGAGATAGTGAGTGAGTGAGTGAGTGAGATAGTGAGTGAGTGAGATAGTGAGTGAGTGAGATAGTGAGATAGTGAGTGAGATAGTGAGATAGTGAGTGAGATAGTGAGATAGTGAGTGAGTGAGTGAGATAGTGAGTGAGATAGTGAGATAGTGAGTGAGATAGTGAGTGAGTGAGATAGTGAGTGAGTGAGATAGTGAGATAGTGAGTGAGATAGTGAGATAGTGAGTGAGTGAGTGAGATAGTGAGTGAGATAGTGAGATAGTGAGTGAGATAGTGAGATAGTGAGTGAGTGAGTGAGTGAGTGAGTGAGTGAGATAGTGAGTGAGTGAGATAGTGAGATAGTGAGTGAGATAGTGAGATAGTGAGTGAGATAGTGAGATAGTGAGTGAGTGAGTGAGATAGTGAGTGAGATAGTGAGATAGTGAGTGAGATAGTGAGATAGTGAGTGAGATAGTGAGTGAGATAGTGAGATAGTGAGTGAGATAGTGAGTGAGTGAGTGAGTGAGTGAGATAGTGAGTGAGTGAGATAGTGAGTGAGTGAGATAGTGAGTGAGTGAGATAGTGAGATAGTGAGTGAGATAGTGAGATAGTGAGTGAGTGAGTGAGATAGTGAGAGTGAGTGAGTGAGTGAGATAGTGAGTGAGTGAGTGAGATAGTGAGTGAGTGAGTGAGTGAGTGAGTGAGATAGTGAGTGAGTGAGATAGTGAGTGAGTGAGATAGTGAGTGAGTGAGTGAGATAGTGAGTGAGATAGTGAGTGAGATAGTGAGTGAGATAGTGAGTGAGATAGTGAGTGAGTTAGTGAGTGAGATAGTGAGTGAGTGAGTGAGTGAGATAGTGAGTGAGTGAGTGAGTGAGATAGTGAGTGAGTGAGATAGTAAGTAGTAAGTAATCTTTATTTATATACCGCCTTTTCACTGCACATCGGAGTCTCAAAGCGGTTTACAATTGTTATTTTTGGGAGTGGGGGTCGCCAGTACACGAGGCGCACGCCAGACCTATTGTACATATTTTTAGTGGTAGGGGAAACCGGAGCACCCGGAGGAAACCTACGCAGACACGGGGAGAACATGCAAACTCCACTCAGAAAGGCCCTGGTCCAACCGGGATTCGAACCCAGGACCTTCTTGCTGAGAGGCGAGAGTGCTATCCACTCAGCCACCGTGTCGCCCAGATAGTGAGTGAGTGAGTGAGTGTGTGTGTCTCGTGCGGCTTATGTGTGTGTGTCTCGTGCGGCGTGTGTGTGTGGCTCGTGCGGCGTGTGTGTGTGTGGCTCGTGCGCCGTGTGTGTGTGGCTCGTGCGCCGTGTGTGTGTGGCTCGTGCGCCGTGTGTGTGTGGCTCGTGCGCCGCGTGTGTGTGGCTCGTGCGCCGCGTGTGTGTGTGGCTCGTGCGCCGCGTGTGTGTGTGGCTCGTGCGCCGCGTGTGTGTGTGGCTCGTGCGGCGTGTGTGTGTGGCTCGTGCGGCGTGTGTGTGTGGCTCGTGCGGCGTGTGTGTGTGGCTCGTGCGGCGTGTGTGTGTGGCTCGTGCGGTGTGTGTGTGGCTCGTGCGGCGTGAGAGTCGTCCCGGAGTTTATAATACATGGGCGCACACAGCTAGACGCTGTGACGGTCAACCACCGGTTAAACGGTCGCCGATTTACATCCCTACTCTGGACTGCTCACTCCCCTTTCCCTCCCCTCTCACTCCCTCGTCGTCTTTCCTAGCTCGTCTTCTCTGTCTGGTGCACACTGGGGTAGTGTTGCAAAGTTTTTCCAATGTGGTTTTACTGCAAATGGCAAATAAATGAATCTGAACGTTGATTTGCGCTTTATTGTTCCTAGCCTGGTCGTACCACACCATAGTACAAATGACATTTCATACTAAGGTCTGGAATTGCTCCATTGAGCTCCGTTTACAGGTAGGAGGGGTTAACTCCTTTTGCACATTGAAACGATTGGATTGGAGTTTACCGTGACGTATGCAATGCGCCCGAGTCTGTTGTTAGCATTTAGCATTTAGCTTAGCCATCTCCTTTGCAGCTAACTGAGCCGGTGGGGAGTAGCGCCACAATTTTTTCTAGCGATTACAATTGCTAAACATTCCTATTGCTCCGGCTTCAATTTCTTGATAGAACCAGACCGGATTACTTTAATATCGCATTTTTCGCCATTGCCAAACTACGACCTTCCCGTTCTACGCAAACTCTTGACATCACTCACAACTAACTACAACACCCGCCTTCAGCGCTCTCTGAATGGTCGGTCGAAATTCCGATTGTAATCGCTAACACAGGGAGAAAACCCAGGCATTACATACAGTGAAATGATGATTGAGCGGAGTGTACGGATGGCTAAGTATTTGCACACATGAGAATCAGCCAGAATTATGACTATCAAAGAGCTGACAGTCCACATTAGGCCATGTCCACACGTAGCTGGGTATTTTTAAAACCAAATATTTCCCCCCCCCCTCCTTTTTTAAAATATTTGTCTCCACATCACTTTGTTAAAAAAAAAAAAATCTACACGGTAGGAGCTGGTGAATGACCTGAAGAGAGCTGGGACCAAGGCTATTACACTGGGTAACAAAAAAATATTTTTTGAAAATAGTCCAGGGTTTTCCAGCTGAATTAGACTCATTTTGATACTCTGAGTCCGAAAATGACCTTGGTTTTGCTCAATCAGGTCAGGATTTTTTGCTACAGAAATATTTTTTTAAATCGATTTTGCGTAAAAAACTAATTTCTGCGGATCATCAGCTGAGAAACCCTTGACGTTTTTTCCGTTTACCCTCAAGAAATAAAAGTCAACGTATCCAAAGTCATTCAGTTTTTATTTACTCCATCAAATTTGACAAGCAGAATTCATAATAACGTAGACGTACATAATCCGTAACACTATGGCTGTATCTCATCAAAAAGTTGACCTTTGATAGAGCAAAATGCATGTGATATTCGGACTCAGAACACCAAAATTAGTCTAAATCAGTTGAGAAACCCCTGACCATTTTTTGGCTGTCAACTTGTGTTATCAGTAGAACACTACAGCGTAGTGGTTAAAAATCATGCATCTCACTGAAGGTTCCCCTGCTTAAGTTAGGCCATGTCCAAGCCCGTCTAAAGTTTGCCTGGGACCATCTGAATGATCCAGAGGAGTCATGGGAGAAAGTTATGTGGTCAGAGGAGACCAAAATATAACTTTTTGGTATAAACTCCACCAGTCGGGTTTGGAGGAAAAAGACGGATGAGTATGGCCTAGCCAGTCTCCAGAACTAAATCTGAAACTTTGTGTTGCTCGGCAAGAGCCCCGTGTGCGGAAACCTGGTGAAGAACTATAGGAAACGTTTGACCTCTAATTGCAAACAAAGGCTTCTGCACAAAATATTAACACTCACCCTCTCATGTGTGCAAATACTTATGAAGTTTTTTTTTTTTTTAGATTACGTCTCTCAAAGTGGAAATACATCTATGAAGAACATTTCAAACCTCTCCCTAATTTCTAAGTTGGAGAAATTGCAAAATTGCAGGGTGTGCAAATACTTGTGGACCTCACTGTATACTGGGATCTCTAACCCTCTCTGATGTTTACTGGTCTGGTGGTACCTCCTGTGAGCCGCAGACTTCTCCCTCAGTCCCTGCAGACCTCCATCTCTGTTTGAAGCTGGAGCGCTGGAATCTTCTGAGGGGAAATCTTTGGACACAGACTCATCACTGAAGAAGTCTGTGGGCAGGTGTGCCGCTAGGCATTCTGGGAGCTGAGTGCCCAGAGCATGGTACAGGTCAGCCAGGACTCCAGGGATGGAGGTCAGGAACCTAAGAGACAAAAACATGAGGCAACAGGAGGTTCAGATATTAGATGGAAACAGAGGCAGAGAGACAGAGACGAAGCGAAAGGCTAGTTCAAGATGAAGAGAGATCTTTTATTTGTCTTACAGTGGGGAAATTTCAGTGTTGCATCACCAGTTACAGAACAGTAGGAATGAGGGGCACACAACACAAGTCTTTTGTAAAAGTATACTTACAACGGCAGCAGCACATGGTCCTGCAGGAATCCTCTGAGGAACACTGGGTCTTTGGTCACAGAGATGATCCTCAACATCTCGGCCACCTGAAACCACGACAGCAGCTCTTTGAAAGTAGTGAGAGTTAGAGTGAGAGTGAGAGTGAGAGAGACCAGGGAGACAACAGCTCTCGGAAATCACATCAGAATTGTTTAAGCAGATACCTCCTCAGCCATGAGCTCACAATCCACAGCCTGTGATTGGACAGAAGAGACAAGACGACACATCTCCAACCTCAGGAGGGCCTGCAGCTGGCACCTGAAATACATGAACGTGTGAAAACAAGAGAAGTACCAGAGAGTGAGCAGAGAAAGACCAGTGTGAGAGTGAGAAACTCACTCTCTGATCTTTTCCTCAGGGTTGGCAGCAGAGCTGTACTGCAGACGGATGGACTGACTGCTCTTCACCAGGTGGGACTGCAGCAGAGTGCTCTGATTGACCTGCAGACAGCACAAGAACTTAGATCATAAAGCCTGTATCCAAGAGCCTGCAGATTCATCGGTTCTCAGATGTAGCTCCCAGATTCACCCGTGTCGTGTTTAGTCTTTTCAACTCAGACCACTGCAGACCACAGTTAATCAAAAATGTGTGTTCAATTAACGTCTGCCAGACCCTTCTGGAAGTTGACAACGGCAACGCTGCTGTAAAAGGTATGGTTTGTCTCAGAAATTATAGTAGGCACACCTCAGCGTACAACATATTAGATCAACTTACAACAAAGAATAACTTTGTTAATACCATTTTCAGCAGCCACCCGCTCAGGGGAATTACACTACTACCCCAACAGCATTGACCGGGCTCTAAAGCCGTGTTTGTGAGCAGTAGTGTCCTTACCTCAGAGCCCTTCCCCAGGTGGCCCCTCACAGACGACAGCAGCAGTGAGAGTCCAGAGCTCAGACTCAGGTCTGAAACTGTTTTACTGTAAGTTTCCTTCAGATACTGCAGCAGCTCGGCCTCCGACGAGAAACCTGCAAACACATCACATCTGAGTCCGAGCCTGGCTCTCTACTCCATCTTGTTGTGGTCACTCCGCTCTCTCCTGAACTTAGGGCCCGTCCCAATTCTCACTCTTGCCCTTAAAAAGCACCCTTGCCCTAGATTTTGCACCTGCCCGCGGGGTTATAGGGTGTCCCAATACTTAGGGAGAAGAGGCGAGGGCCCTCACACCCTTAAAAACCACCCTCGTGCGCACAAGGGTCATCCCATGATGCATTAGGATAGTTGGTAAAGTAGATGTCGGCAAAGCCGCGCCACAATGAAAGAAAACAACATGAAACAAACGTATATGTGGTGACGTTCGCTCGCGAAACGGCCGCACCGCTTGCCGTTCACTGATACTTCAGAGACGTGGCTCCATGTTATTATAATAGATCCATGTAGTTCAGAGCATCGCTTTCAGTTTGCTTTGTGAGCCGCAGATTTACTCGTCTGTCTCTGTGTGCCGTGTATGTACGTGTGTGTCTGTGAGAGTGTGTGTGAGTGTACGTCTGTCTGACTGTGCGCGGGTGTGTGCGTACATGTGTCTGTCTCCGTGTGTGCATGATATGAAGAAGTCTTGCACCTAATTATAGCTAATCTTCATATGAAACTCAATTAACTCATTGACTGCCAGCCCATTTCAGAACAGGTACTCCCATATTGCCAGCAGTTTCTGATGTTTTTTTTTGATTTTCAAGACCCACAGAATATTGTGTACTATGACTATCTGAAATCCAAAACCAGATTCTGAAAGAATGAATTTTCTACTTTCACCAGAAAAAAGAATTTTGTTTCAAGCTTGTTTCGTTCCCTGTAATCCCCAGACGAGTAGAGGGAAGTTATCCTGAAATCAGCAGTCTCAGACTAAAAGCTGAGAAAAAGATCCAAAAGGCAGCGCTGGTGCCGCTGGTGGTACAAATATGCTCTAAAGCTAATCCCCATACATATTAGATATAATAGACATATGGGAACATGAAAATAGTGAAAAACGCATTTGACGTTTTAGGGTGCTTTCACACCGCCGACGCACATTCTCTCATTTTCAGACGCAGGGGTCTTTACACCAGAAGTCCTGGGCTGCAGTGGAGCCCCCGGAAGTGGCGGAAGTAGCGGGCGGACTTTGATGCTAACGGAGTTAAGCTAGCGGCTTTTTGTGTAAAGTTCTTCTCCAATAATGCAGCTCTGCAGCGTCTATGTCCAGAGACCTTTCAGAGACTTCATATAACAGCAGTATGTGTTCACGGAGGTGCGCCATACGTTTATTTTATTATTAAAAAGGTACTTCCGCATCGGCCAACACGCTCAAAGCAGTTGCATAAAGTCACGGGAGCATGAAAACGCATATGTTCACAAGCACAGAGTCCCCCATTGTCAACCCTGCTTCAGTCCTAGTGTAGCTTCTGTTTTGGCTGTTTACAGTATGTTCAGTCTGCTCGCTCAGACCACTAATGTCCCCGTGACCAATTAGCGGCTCTTTGATTGATCGCTACACGAGGAAACGTTCAGCAATATTTATCTCCTGCATGCGTCAATTTTCCGCTCCTGCGCCTCTACCGCGCAGTCCGCGCGTGCATCCCTAGAAGCACATGCAGCTCCACGCTCGAACGTGTGTCACCATTGAAAGTCCGGTCTCTGAACACGGCTTGAAATGTCAATGGCACACAACCGTACTATTTGGCAGATGAATAAACACTTTGTTTCATATCTGTTGTCAGATATTATCTGTGGTGAAATCAGACACATTGATAATGCGTGTGACATGGAACACGTTTGCTGCGTCGATTTGCATCTTGTCCCCTAGATCCAAGGGTGTCCCATTTCTTAGGGAGAATATCTTGCGAGGGCCCTCCTTCGTTGAGGGTACTCAAAACTCAAGTGCCCTCAGAATTGGGACGGGCCCTCATGCTGGGCTCCCTCTCTCACTCCCCCCGTACTCACACGGGGCTCTCTCCTCTCTCCTTTCGCGGTCCTTCCTCCTCAGTTTCTCCGTGGCGCTCGGCTCTGGATCACACTGTGTTTTCTGAGCTTTGACATTGAGGCGTGCTGCGTTTAACATCTGCAAAGATCGACTCATAGTTTTCATCTTCTGTTTGAGCAGAGTCCTGTGACCGCCACCTGTAGGACACACAGAGCAGCACATCATGAGTGTCATAAACCATTTGCACACTTCCTCAGGAAGTGTGGGCTGGTTTGCAGTCAATTATAACAGGACTGAGATGTATAAAATAGACTGGGGTATGTACCTTTAAAGGTCCCATATTACACTTTTTCAGTCCATAAGCGCATGTATGGTGTATCACTCAAATTATTATCACACAACACTCCAAGAATGTGAAATATAGGTATTTCTTGCAAAGAGGTTGTCGCATCAATTGTAATGGCTGGATTTGTGCTCCTTTGCCTGTGAACCCGCCTCCCCCACCAGCGCAGTGACATAGCCTCACGGTGACTTCTTAAACACACAGCGTGAAAGCGAATTGTTCAGCTGTGCCGGTACATAATCATCTCAGACCTGAGAATAAACTTTTTTCCCAAAAATTTCCCCTAGTCTTTTAAGTTGGGAATAAAACCAGGTTTCCAGATCAGCCTTTGAGTAAGTCCAGTTTCACGGTAACCGTGGTTCTGGAAAAGGACTGTGGTGGTATTGCTTGCAGAAAAACAGATATGTAGCAGACTTCAGAGGCAGAACTCTAGAAAAAAAGTTCTGCCACATTCGCTCAATTCTTTGTCTTCGGGCCAAATAGTGTATTTTTTCCCCCAAAGACACATTTTGTCCAAGTTGACATGATGCTAACACAAAACAGTAGTCTATGGGTGGTAGACGCGGGACTATACTAATATTTAGAGTCTATCTGTCCATACACTGGACTCAGTGAGGCTTCGTGTGCTAATTTGTTGTTTTAGTTTCTCCCCGTCAATCACCTCCTGGAGGCAGGCTTCTCACGTCACAAATTGGTTCCACATCACGATTTGAAACAAGTCTTTTCTGTGCCTCTCGAAAATGAAAGCTCGCTCTCCAACTAAAGCTTGGGGGAATCAATGAAAATACTCTCTCCCTGGTATCTCGCGCTCTCTTGCGCTCTCTGGTGTCTCACGTTTGCGCTGTGTGCGGATGCCGCTGCTGCTCTTGTACATCTCCTTCAGGTCGGTCAGAAACTCCTGCTCTTCACTCCCCCTGGAGACGTCCTCTGGAACTGCATGGATCAACCTGCAACAAAGAGTCTCATCAGGGGCTACACTAGAGTCTCTGTAGAGCTGTCATCAGGGGCTACACAAGTGTTTCTGTAGAGCTGTCATCAGTACCTGATGCTCTCCATGAGGTTAGCACTGACTCCTCTGCTGTCGCTGTGAGGAAACCAGCTGTGGACACATCCTGCTGTGACGGTTGAGGACCCGAGCTCATGCTGAGCCTCCTGCTGAGCCCACACTGGGGTCTGCTCCTCTTCCTCCATCATGTTATAGACCACCCCCAGCACACTGTTCACCACCTCGGGCAGCCCTGTGTCCTCCAGGGAAAAGTGTAGAGGAGGAACAGGGGTACAGGAGATCCCCGTATCCTCCAGGGGACAGTGTGGAGGAGGAGCAGAGGTACAGGAGATCCCTGTGTCCTCCAGGGGACAGTGTGGAGGAGCAGAGGTACAGGAGATCCTTGTGTCCTCCAGGGCACAGTGTGGGAGCAGGTAAAGCAGAGCAGAGTTATGGGAGAGGGGAGTGAGGAGAGAGGAGCGAGTGAGGCCGTCCTCCAACACGTCAGCAAACTGTAACAAACAAGTGTAAAATATAACCGCAAGCAGCAATGAACAGCCCTCGCAACTATGGAAAGTGGCGCCCATACTTCCCCTTGAACATGTCGTATCACCCCCAGCAGGGGGACTAATGGGGCGTTCAGACCGGATTATGTCTAGTTTCAATGCAAAGTCTATGGTGCCATCCATTCATACATTCATATTGCATGTGCGTCGCGACATGCATGTTTGTCCGGCCCGACAGACACGGTAGGTACGCGGACTAGATGCATGCAGCAAAAGCAGGAGATTAACATTGTTAAACTTTTTCCGCCGGCCACACGTGCGGCAAACAATCAGAGAGCCGGAAAGTGGTCAGGGGGTCACTAGCGGTCAGAGCTAGATAAACGGCTAAACAAAGAGCTAAATCAAACCAGGATTGACAATGGGGGACACAGTGCTTGTAAACATATGCCTCCAGCCGGAGTTCTCATTTTCCCATGACTGTAAACAAGTGCTGCTAATGTGTTCGCAGATGGGGAAGTACCGTTTAATAATAAAATTAACTTATGGCGCATCTCCGTTAACACACACTGCTGTCTGCTGGAAGTTTCTGGAAGGTCTCTGGACACAGACGCTGCAGAGCTGCATTCTTGGAGAAGAACTTTACACAAAAAGCGGCGAACTTAAACCAGTTAGCATCGTGGCAGAAATTTAGTGAATGTGCATCCAGTGCGCATGGAAGTTGCGTTAAAGCGTTGGTGGTCTGAAAGCCCCATAAGGCTGTGCTGCTGACTCACCAACATTGGACTTTCTGTGAAGGTCTCTGTCCTCCATGTCCCTCCCCCGCCCCTTCTGTCTGAATGCTGTTATCAGACTCGTCTACACTATGGAGAAATCTCAGAATGTGTTGCCATGCAGTCTCTAAATTCGCCAGTTTCTCCAGTCACATGACCCCACCTTCCATTAGATTGCTCCATGTTAGATTGAAAATGATCAAAGCAGTGTCACATTGCTCATCCTGATCATCTCTTACTCCATTATACATGTTTGTCCATATATAGTCTATGACTAGATCCTAGGGCTGGGCGATATGGCTGAAAACTATATCACAATATAAGTCATTCATATCGGTCAATAACGATATATATTGAGTTTTTTTTTTTTTAACCTAAATAAATACATTTGTCGTGTGGGCTAACCAACCTTAGCAGCCTTGTTTACAGTCACGGGGGAATGAGGCTGGAGGAATATGTTCACACTGTGTCCCTCATTGTTAGTCCTGGTTTAATCCTGGTTTAATCCTGGTTTTTTATTCCTGGTTTAGCTCCTGGTTTAGCTGTTTTCGAGGGTCTTGTGTCCCCGTGACCGCTCCATGCGGCTCTCTGTGCCGCACATGCTTCCCGAGGAAAAAGTTAATCTCTTGCTTTCGCCGAATACATCGGGTCTGTCCACTGCCTCTGCCGCCGCACATGTTATTCCGCGCACGTACGTGCATAACCATTGACACGGCATTGAAACACAAGCTATAGATCCATGGACGCTACGCATGGTGCGGTTGTTGGTGTTTTTGCATTTCCCAGAAAGTTTTGCGGTTCCTGCTCGGCTGTTATTGGTCGAGAAGCCTCTGCCTACATCCCCCACAATGCCATGCGCTTATGAGTCGGCTTTACTTCCGGTGTTTTCTTCCTGTTTTTCCTGACGGAGTTAAGTTAAACTATCGAACATTCTATCGACCCCATTCTCTATTGATATCGAACACATGTCTATCGCGATATATATGGTTATCGTTTTATCGCCCAGCCCTACTAGATCCTCACCAGACGGAGGCGTTTGTCCTTCATCTCCTTTAGAGCATCTCTGAACCAGTCCTGATCTGGACTGTGGACAACATAGACCTCAGAGCCCTGCGGTCCGGACTGAAGCCAGGTCTGGGTCTGGTCTTGGATCACGGCCTTCAGACGGACCTCAGTGCACACAGACAGAGGCCTCTGGGAGCGGCTCACTGCCTCCGCCTGCAGGACACTGCGCCACACTACACCATCTGCACAAACACAGTTTGGAGATCTCACAAGACAAGTACACTTTGGTCTGAAGGAAAATCATTTTGGGTTCTAGTTTCCCCTTGTGCATGGCCCAATCCTCAGGTGAAAAAGCATCCTCAAAGTACTGATCCAGAGGGCATCACAAGAGGGGTTTATCTCCTTATGTCTCTCTCTCCCCCTTCTCTGAGCCCGGGCTGTATGGCCTTCGGATTCCCAAATGTGTTTGTTAGTCACTTTTTATTCTAATACATTAAAATATTTCTCATTTGGATACTTTACTTTTGCTTTTTATTTTGTTTTATTTCAAAACCTATTTGGATGTCCTAGGTGTAATCAACCAACGCACTGTCGGCTTGGATACATCCACTAGAGTAGAACTAGTATTGTATAGGCCGAAATACAAATTATACATAGAATACAGTTGTTGTTGACACTTCAACTATTAAAATAATGGTTAGTGACAGCCTGATTTCCCACCTCTGTAAGTGCGTGTGTCTCTGTGCGTGCGTCTCACCTCTCTCCCAGCACACGGCAGCTTCTCTCTGGGGGAACCCTCGTCTGTATTGTGTCTCTGGACTGAGGACAAAGCCCCAGACTGAACTGAACCATGGACTGAGCTCAGAGCCAGAGTGTGACAGGTCTAAGATAGAGGACAGAGGGAGCAGTCTGCCCCCTAGAGGAGAGAGGAGGAGAGACATAGCATCTGCACCACACTGGTCCTGACACTGCAACACCTGCACACAAAACACAACACACATGAGATGTGCAAAACCTGCACACATGAGAGACACATCACACAACACACAAGACACGTGAGATTGATGCCTCACCTGTTGATATGGCCTGGTATCGATCCAGTGAAGAGTAACGCGTTTCTCCTTCATCATGTCCCTCACTCTGTTGGACAGGAGTCTTTCTGACTCGTCTGCGTCTCCTGCAGGAAGACCGAGGTACTCCAGCAGCTGAGTACGTGAGCGCGGGCACTGGCTGAACACAAACACCAGGTTCCTCCCCTCACTGTAACAACAACACAACAATAACGACACAACAACAAAACTGTGACGGCACTATTTGGTCACACACAACTCAAATTGTGGGTTTAACAGATCCAAGAATGAACAGACTCTTGTCGCTGTAAATATTGAATTCTTATGGTGCCAATTTTCGGCTCTTTTGCTTATTAATAAAAGTAATTTTAGGTTGAAAATCTTGTACCGCTTGTACCGTGATCTCGTCCTTTTAGTCATTACCGAAAGCTCAGGACCAGAGGTGAGGGAAGGGACGTAGAGCTTTGACTCCAGACACTACTTCGAACAGTCGGTCTCCCCTCCATCTTTCCCTCACTGAGTCCAAGACCCTGAGATACTTGAAGAAGGACCTCTGCTCCAGGTCAGTCACTAAAATAGTGCTGGTTCAAACAGTTGGCACAGCTCACTCACCCGTTGCTGGTAGGGTCCTCCAGCTCTTCTCCTCGTCTCCCCCCTCGGGTGCTGGGTTTGGTGGGGGACGTTATGTCTGGCCGGTCCCATTGGAAGTCCAGCAGAGTCTCCTTCAATACGTTCTGGACACAGCTTGTGGCGCTGCTGAGACTCTTCCTCTGTGACGTCAGTGCACTCCGACTGTCCAGCTCGGCCTCAAAGTCCTCGAACGCTTTGAGACGCAGTTCTTTGAAGTCAGACGTTCTGGAGATGAGACCGGAGCTGCGACCCGAGCCCGAGCTGAACAACTTGTACCCCCAACGCACCTTCTCAAACCCAAACCTGCAACAGCAATGATTCTGGCATCAGTCTGAAATACTGCTGAGCCTGTACATGTGCCACTCATCTGTTCTGATGGACTAGTCACTTCAGCTGTTGCTATTACTATTATTTATTCTGGTCACATTCTCTGCTGCCTCAGTACAATATTAACCATCTGTAAATGTGAAACCTCCTGACTCTTTACTATAGTGAATTCTCCACAAATGATTTATGTTCAAGTTCAATTATAGCTCAAGTTTAGAATCTGTTTATTATCTTAAATTAAAGATCTTTGTGTGCAACGAGGGATCTTTTCCCCTATTTTATTCAATGACATTTCCTCACTGAGGGATGAATAAAGATTATCTTATCTCACATGATGCTGACTAGTGTTGTACCTGTATCCCAGCTGCAGCAGTATTTGGAGCAGTCCCCTCTTTAACACTGCCTTCCTCTGCGTGAGCTCCTCTGTGCTCTGCTCTCCATAATCCACATCCACCACAAACACCAGGTTCTGCAGAGCCATGACGTGTGGACCATCGGAGGACCAGAGTGTCAAACCTGAAATCTGACAAATGTCACAGGTCTGAACATAAAGCCAACGCGAGGATAGACATCTGTTGTCAGCTGCATTGACAGTAAACAGGCCGCTAGCTAACACCGAATAGTCACTGAAAACGACTCTAACGACATTTTAACGAACAGCGCGGACCGGGAGGCACCGGCCACATACCCGCTCACATGGCGGAGCACGTTAGTCCCACAACGACACGAGAATTACACCAAGATAAAGACTTTTCTGTCATAAACTGTTATTAACGGGGCTGTGCTGTTTGCGTAAACGCCATTTTGTTTTATCTTGACTCTTCGCGCGTCTTGGCCAGTGTTCCACCTCCGCGCTCCAATTGGCTGCTGACGTCACAAACAAGCGCCTGATTGGTGGAAAGTTGAAAAAGCGAAGTTAAATGGTGTCTGTCTATTCGCCAAACGAGCTGTCAGTATAGTCAGCGTGAGTTGGTAAACACGACGAAGGAGGAGCACGGGGAGGAGAAGCAAAATGGCGGCGAGTTTTAAATATTAAAACTATGGATGGAGAATGATTTAAAACACCAAATTACTTCATTTAAAGGTATATACGAGGATTTTCTACTTCCGGGTGGATCATCAAGACTATTGGTCCTGTGGGAAATGAATCACACAGAGACGGATCATGGGGCACCAGAGCTCTGGAAGTTTATTTAGGTTTCTGTCAAGTTCCAGTTGTTTCAATCTTCTCAGACAGAATAGAGTCAGCACATGTTTTTTAAAGTCATTGTTACGTCACACATCGAAAGACACATTCAGAGACATTCAGAGCTTATTATAGTCATAACATGGATACACAATCAAAGTCCTTGTAGAGTCTTGCGTTTGTCCACCTGCGTAGGTCATATAGATATCTAATCCTCATAGTCCTCCAAATGGTCAATTCTGGTGATAGTGCTCGTCAAATAAGACCAGAGAGTTTTGTTCAAAAGGTTGAGCGGCCGGTTCTTTCCAAAAACATGAGAAAATCCTCCTGAATTCTGTTTTTCGCCAATTTTACTTTATCACAATGTGTGCGGCAGAATTACACCCAGTTCAGTCATTTTCAGCAATTCTATTACTATTTTGTTATTTATGCCTTTTTTGATATTTGCTGTTTGTGCCCATTCCTCTGGACTCGCACAAATCTGTGTGATTCGTCCAGGGCTGAGACCAGAGAGAGACAAGAGAGACTAGCGATACTTGTTCCTTTGACAAATCCTCCACATGAACTCAAATCAAGAGGCATTTTCACAAATCCAAGTGATGTTTATGTTTTTCTTCAGTCTCTGTTGTGTTTGTTTGAATAGTTGCAGTCTTTGCTGCTTGTTACATATGGCGCAGAGGGATCAGTGTGTTACATGACTGAGAGCTCTCTTGTGTCAGTGCCAGACCGTCCCAGCTCCAAGTGTGAGCGCTTCTCTCATAGTTCTGTTTATTTGGAAAAGAAACAGTGCTTTTATTCTCCCACGAGTCTGAGAGCGTCTGCGAAAGTCACAGTCAACACATGTTTAGAGCTGGTGTCCATAACTTGGATTTTGTAATAGTTCTATTGGTGGTCTGAAGTTACATGCCCTAGCTTTAACAGAGACATGCTGTTCCTGTCAGGATTGTGTTCTGGAGTTATGGCCAAAGAAAACTCCACAGGCTCAGAGGGGAATCCTTAAATGGGCAAATAAAACAAGTCTAAAGCCACAGCTCAGACCATGAGAAAAACCAGAACTGTAGCAGGTCTAAAACAAGACAAGCAGGTCTTAACCAGATCTAGACCAGGACTAGACCAGGACTAAACCAGGACTAAACCAGGACTAAAACAGGACTGTTACTCTGATATAACTGTCTGTTTCCACTCTCCTAAACTCCTTGGATTACTGCTGAAATACTTGTGTCGGTTACAGACCCGGCCCGTGGCATACAGTGGGGCAAAAAAGTATTTAGTCAGCCACCAATTGCGCAAGTTTTCCCACTTAAAATAATGACAGAGGTCTGTAATTTTCATCATAGGTACACTTCAACTGTGGGAGACAGAATGTGAAGAAAAAAAATCCAGAAATTTACATTGTAGGATTTTTAAAGAATTTATTTGTAAATTATGGTGGAGAATAATTATTTGGTCAATAACAAAAATTCAACTCAATACTTTGTAATATAACCTTTGTTGGCAATAACAGAGGTCAAACGATTACTATAAGTCTTTACCAGGTTTGCACACACAGTAGCTGGTATTTTGGCCCATTCCTCCATGCAGATCTTCTCGAGAGCAGTGATGTTTCGGAGCAACACGGACTTTTAACTCCCTCCACAGATTTTCAATGGGGTTGAGGTCTGGAGACTGGCTAGGCCACTCCAGCTCCATGCACTCCATGCTTCTTACGGAGAAACTCCTTCGTTGCCCGGGCGGTGTGTTTGGGATCATTGTCATGCTGGAAGACCCAGCCACGTTTCATCTTCAACGCTCTCACTGATAGAAGGAGGTTTTGGCTCAAAATCTGGCGAGACATGGCCCCATTCATTCATCAGTCGTCCTGTCCCCTTAGCAGAAAAACAGCCCCAAAGCATGACGTTTCCACCCCCGTGCTTCACAGTAGGTATGGTGTTGGGACACCATACCTACTGGTGTCCCAACACCAGTAGGTATGGTTTCTAATTCTATTATAATTGTTATTTTTGGGCACTTGTCCTCTCGCTCCACACAGAGATGGGAGCGGGGTCGCCAGTACAGGAGGCGCATGCCAGACCTATTGTACATATTTTTAGTGGTAGGGGAAACCGGAGTACCCGGAGGAAACCTACACAGACACGGGGAGAACATGCAAACTCCACTCAGAAAGGCCCTGGTCCGACCGGGATTCGAACCCAGGACCTTCTTTGTGAGAGGTGAGAGTGCTATCCACTCAGCCACCATCAGTTGGAGTGTGTTACTGATGGTAACCTTTGTTACTTTGGTCCCAGCTCTCTGCAGGTCATTCACCAGGTCCCCCTGTGTGGTTCTGGGATTTTTGATCATCGTTCTCATGATAATTTTGACTCCACGGGATGAGATCTTGCGTGGAGCCCCAGATCGAGGGAGATTATCAGTGGTCTTGTATGTCTTCCATTTTCTGATAATTGCTCCCACAGTTGATTTGTTCACACCAAGCTGCTTGCCTATTGTAGATTCACTCTTCCCAGTCTGGTACAGGTCTACAATTCTTTTCCTGGTGTCCTTCGACAGCTCTTTGGTCTTGGCCATAGTGGAGTTTGGAGTCTGACTGTTTGAGGCTGTGGACAGGTGTCTTTTATACAGATAACGAATTCAAATAGGTGCCATTAATACAGGTAACGAGTGGAGGACAGAAGAGCTTCTTAAAGAAGAAGTTACAGGTCTGTGAGAGCCAGAGATCTTCCTTGTTTAAAGTGACCAAATACTTATTTTCCACCATAATGTACAAATAAATTCTTTAAAAATCCTACAATGTGAATTCCTGGATTTTTTTTTCACATTCGGTCTCTCACAATTGAAGTGTACCTATGATGAAAATTACAGACCTCTGTCATTATTTTAAATGGGAGAACTTGCACAATCGGTGGCTGACTAAATACTTTTTTACCTCATTGTATGCCTTAAAGGGAAAAGCTATGGGCGCCGTCTATCGGGGGCGCCATGGCAGTCTCAGAAATGGGAAATAAAAAAGTTACTTTTTCTATTATTCTATTCTATTATATCTATTCTAACAAGTTGGTACTGTTATTTCTTAATACAAAAACAATCCCACATTAAGTTAAATGCAAAGTAAAGCCTAAAAAATATATTATGTTTGTAATGTTTCAACAATACGTCACGCCCCCTCCCTTCCATCGCTGCGGTTAAGTGGCCCGGGATTTCAAAGGCTGTTATTTACGTAAAATTGGGAAGAGAAGCCACAGGTATGAACCTCCAAAATGCACTTTTTAAATTTAATATAAAAAAAAAAAGAGGTTTGCGACTACTTTCACTGCACACTTGTTCCCTGTGATGACCTCTACAAGTGTGCAAGGGGCACCATGATATAGTTTTACCTAGGGCCGGCCCTGGTTGGTTACAAACTTGAACATTCTCCGGAGCTTTATCTGCAGCGGCTTTAACAGCACCAGGAGAAGTCCTGTTTTGAAACTGAAGCACAGCTCTAATCTGCTTCTTCTTCTACATCAGACTCAACTCGAAGGAAACACATTGATTCCAAACATATAAACTTTAAACTTTAATGGAAGGATCCTCATTTACAAAGTCTCATGTTGCACAAACACAGGGGCCATTACAGCTGTGTGTTTGTGAGACTGTATCTAAGTCTCACGTTCTCAGATCTGTGTCACATTCCAACATCTATAAAAGATTAACTATTTTGTCTGAAAACAGAAACACGTTGATTCAAAGCTAAAGCAGTAAATATGAAAGCTAGTCTACTGTTAGCTTTCCATTGTTAGCTCTCTGTTAGAGTTCCGTTGTTAGCTTAATGTTAATTTTCTGTTAGCACAGTTCGCTTACAAAAATATAAAACTAACTAAGAACTAATTCAAAAGGAGAAAAAACCCATGTTTTAAAAGCAATTCTCTTTACGTCTCTTATACACCGCAGCATGCACACACTAGAAGCGCACAAATGTGCGGCTGCTGCTGCGAAGTCTATGAAGGAGTGTAGAGGACAGGACCACTGTATACCATCAACACTCAAATATTATGTTTGTTCCTATGGCGCTGCTTTCGTCAGACTTTTTGAAAGAAAAAGCAATGTCCAGAATCCCCATCAAACATGCGCCTCCTCCTAGAGTTTAAAGGTTCCATATTACACTTTTCGACTTCTCTGGTTTTAAACATCATTACAGGCCTTCATACACATGCCAAAAGTAGTTTTTTCATTGATTCCCTCAAGCTTTTGTTAGAGAGTTATCTTTCTCTTTCATTCTTGAGAGGCACCAAATTGTGATGTCAGAAGCCCGCCTCCAGGGGGTGATTGACATCGGGGAGAAACCGAAACACCAAGCCTATGATCATGATGCAGCTTCTCCTCGAGTCCAGCGTATGGTCCATAGACTGTAATTATTAGTATGGTGTGCGTCTACCACCCAGTCTAGTGACTGTGGTTTTAGCATCATGTCAACTTGGAGAAAAAGTGTTATTGGATATAAATGTATGATGGTCAGTATTTGGCCAGAAGACGTAGACTGAGACGTAGAATTAATTCACAAGGATCTTCCTCTGAAATCCGTGACAAATGTGTTTTTCTGCAAGTGTTTGCAGAACTAGTTACCTTCAAACTGGACTTACTTAAAAGCTGATTTTGCTAATATGCTAATGAGGAGCCTCAATCTGTAAGTAGAACGCAACTAACACGCCGTATACTATACAGTAAACTAAATAATTAAGATTCAATTCTGGATCGAGGAGATGGCTCTATGTGACAGATCACCAGTGTAGTCCGAGGGGAAAGCTGTACAGTTAGCTTTCGCCTATTTGTTTACCTCAAACTTAGAATGAGGCTACGTCACTAAGCGGGTGGGGCGAGGTGGGCTCTCAGGCAGAGGATCAGAGATCCAATCGTTTCAATTGAGTTGACATCACCATGCAAGAAATGGCTAAAATTTCACATGTTTTCAGTGTTGTATGGTGTATCATCCAAATTGTTATCACACTTCTGCTTAGAATGGACTGTGATAAATGAAGAAAAGCGAAATATGGGACCTTTAATATAAGAGCTCTGTGCTGATCTAGTGTCAAAGGCCATCAGCACAATCATACTTCCTGTGTATTATTTGGACTGAAAGCTGCATCACTGTGTCATAAACTTGTGGCTCGTGTCTTGGGCTGAGGAAAAAAAGGCTGTGTGGCTTGGTGCGCACGTAGGCACCACTGCATAAGCATATTATGTGTAGGGGACATTAGTGTTATATTTATTCTGCTTCAAATGTAGCATTAGCATTGTGGCGCCATCCTTCACAAACAGAAGTGTCTCTGGAGACGGTTTCACCTCACGATGAAGTTCCACACGCAGCGTCTGTTTGAGGCAGAAGTTTAAACACGTGTTCAACCCTGGTTTAGCTCATGTTTTGGCTGTTTTTGAGAGTCTTTGTCTTCCTGCCCCGGCTTGTGTCCCTGTGACCACTTTGACGCTCTCCGATTGGTTGCCGTACGTGCGTCCAGCAAAAAAAGCTCAACCATATTCATCCTCTACGTTCGCTGGATCCATCGGCTCTGCCGCAACAATGCATCTGCTGCGCCGGACAAACCTGTGTGCCTCAATTCACATACGAATATTCGCACAGACAAATGTCACCATTGACTTTGTATTGAAACCTGAACGCAGCGCATGGTCCGATGTAAGTATGGTCAGTGTGTGGTGTGAGGTCAGTCTGTGGTCAGAGCGCCCCCTAGTGGTAGACTGTCTTCAGTGCGTAGAGTCTGAGTCGCTGGAGTCCATGTTGGCAGTCTGTGTCCCGCGGTCCTGTACTGCACTGGGCCGGTCCAGTTTGTGTCGGTCTGCGGGGCAGAGGTACAGACTCTGCGTGCTCTTCCTCAGATTCTCCATACTCTGCAGAAAGGACCTTCTGGCCCGCTCCTCGTCAACAGCGCTGGCCCCTTCCTCCTCCACCTCAGCGATCTCAGCAAAGGTCACAGGCTGAGTCTTGAACCGCGCGGCTCGAGGGCGACGTGACCGACTCTTTCCTCTGGGGGGGACTGTGGGCACGGGCAGTTGCTGGGGGAACTCCTCCAGCCTCAGCGGGGCGCTAGACATCGCCATGAAGACACTGGAGAGATAGAGTTAAAAGCATGGATTTATGGTTCACGCACCAGTGAAAGCATGCTTGGTATTAGTAGTAGTTTATATTCCTCGGTAATTATGAACATTTATTTCTTAAGTTACATGTTTTTTCAAAAATCTTTAGAAATTGTATATTAAGAATTTAAGTGCTAAATGTTGGCTGAAGAAAGGGATTTAGGCCGAAATCAAGACCTAGGCCCCGTTTAGATGGAGACGCTGCGGAGCAAAAACGACCAGGCTCCTTATTCGAAGTGCACAGCGTTTACGCAACGACAGAAAAACATGTAGTTCTAGCGCCCCGTCAGTAGTGGGCAGTGGAACTTTACAACACAACACACGCCACCCCCACCAGTATAATCACTTCCTCAACAACATCCTCCTCAGGCCACCGCAATGACGTGAAAGAATGCACCAACATCATTCTGCATTCAATAGTAGCTGCAATAATGGAAACTGAAACAAGAGCTTTGCGTGGTTTTGTTTGGACAAAGGAGTAGAATTTCTCCTTCGTGTAACGCTCGAAGCAGAGAATTCACACAGCTGTGAAATGCCCCCGCTGAGCAGCATATCTGTTTTGGAGGCTGTTTCTCAGAGCTTGTGTTTTCACCTGAAACACAGTCTTTGTGTAAACGAAAGGCTAAACTGATACCCAACTCTACCGCTTTAATGTCGCAGCGTCTCTGTGTAAGCACCACCATATACACATAAACTCATCTCCACATGGACTCTGAGCGAACCGCGGTACTGCAGCCTAAATTCACATAGGCTGTAAGGAGATTTCCCCCATTGACCTCAGTGTTCACTTAAAGGATTTGTCTTCTGCTCTAGCTCTCTGGTCTCTGGTTCCTCTCTGGTAAGACTGGGAGAACCAGAGCTCAGGCCATTGATCTAAATGGGCAGACATCTTGGAGATCAATGAGTCTGGTGTGTGTGTGTGTGTGATTGGTTGGTGGTTTTGGGATGGGTTGGATTAGGGTTGATGGCAATTACTGGTTGTCTCTCTTCTGTCAGTCTGCCCCAGGGCAGCTGTGGCTACAGCAGTAGTTTCTCAGCAATGTGTGAGTGAATGAATAATGCTCTGAAATGTCTTTGAGTGTCCTGAAAAGTGCTGTTTATACGCGTGCTTGTGTGTGTCTGTGTGAAACTCACCTGTTCTGTGTCAAAAGTGTGGAAAACTATTCCAAAACATCAGACCTCCAAGATCTAGATCTAGAACCAGGTCCAGGTTAAAAAACCAGGTCCAGAACTAGGTCCAGCTGCAGAAAAGTTCTGAATACACAAACTTTGGAGAGTGGCTCTAATCAGTCTAGTCACAGAACCAGTGTCTCACACCATCAGGGTCCACAACTCCGGCAGCTAAACACTCCTACTCTTTATCCACTCCTCCTGTATCTGCTCCTATTTGGTCTCTCCCTCTGTATCTGCTCGAAGATCTATTGAGTCTGATGTCTTTAAGTAAGCCCCAGTGTAAACCCCGCCCCCTGCTCTGCTCTGTCCAATCACAGTTCTCCTCTGACTGTGGACACGTTATCATAGTTTTATTTATATTTTCAGTCAGTGGGAAACAGGAAATTGTCCCCCGCCCCTTCTTCCCCAATACTCTGGTTTCAAACACAGTGAGTGACTCACTGAAAGGGAACCACATGACCCAAACAGGTCTGGACCCTGTTGACCGGACCTCTGTAGACCGGACCCCTTGGTCTCTGGATCCTGTAGACCTGGACCCCTCAGTCTGCGGACCCTGTAGACTGGACCCCTTGGTGTCTGGACCCTGAAACTCAACCCTCTGTAAACAGCTCAGATCTATGGAGAGTTTGTGACTGTTGCCGTGGAAACATACACATACCAGCTCCATGTTGGGTGCACAGTTTTACTGAGGAATTACAGCTACAGTGGTTTGGAAAAGTATTCATACCCTGTGACAGACAAAACAGACAGCACACGACACAGACCTGCCAAGTGTGAGGGGGGGCAGCATCATGCTGTGGACAGAAGGGACCAAGACACAGTGTAATACAGACCCTGTATCACAGACTAGTTCTCAGGAGTTCCTCTGGTCTTAAATCTGATCTGACCTTCTCTTCACCTGCAGGAGGCAATGGATAGTTGTAAATCCGGACATAATTAAAGTCTAAACTCAGACCTCTATTGTTGTGTTTTGAAAGTCACATACCCAAGCTTTAATGTTATGTACCCGAGCTTTAAAAGTACATGCAAGTACATAATAGAACAGAAATCTTTTTTATAATAAACTGTTCAGAACAACTGTCTGAAAGAAAAACACAAACATTCTTTAAGTGAAGTCTGTGAATGATGCTGTGCACTTGAGCAGGAGGTAGGGGTTAGATTCCCTGTGGGTACATGGTCCTGAAGGTCAGGTTGATGCGGGGCCCTCGGTCGTGATACTCCTTCGCCACCTGGTGCTGAAACAGAGGTACTGACTTTAGTGAAATAATGAAGTAAGAGACGACCAGCATGAGCAGCACTCCACCTGCTGATGCAGGAGTGTCATGACACTGTGTGAGGTGATGTCACATGGGGCAAGGTAACAGATGCAACAAGGTTCAGGAGCAGGACCAAACCTCACCTCTCTCTTCCCCTCCTCCTTCTCTTAAAAACACTGGGGAGATGTGTCCTTTAAGTGGACAGCTCACATTTAACAGATTTATCTTTTCATTAGTTTCACTTCAGAAACACAGCACTCAGTAACCATAGCAACAAGACCAGGCCTAAAACCAGTACTGAGGATCTTCAGCCTCAGTCCTAGATCTACAACCTCAGTTCTGGATCTTCAGCTTTAGTCCTGGATCTACAACCTGTCCTTCCGTGGGAGCGGATCCCTCTTTCAATGTGGGGCTCCCTGAGGTCTCTCACTTTTTCTACTGGGATTCTGAGTGGTTCCACTATGATGCAGGAGGGTCTAATGACGGTGATGATCCAGGACATTTCTGCACATTTATTAACATTTCTGGACAGTGGCCATCCTATGGATCAATGGCTTTTTTTTAAAAATTATTATTCATTGCATTTGTAAAGTCCTCCAAAACGACTGCTGTAATGATTTTGGGTGATACACAAATCCATTGAATTGAATCAACCAGAAAGAGAACATCCAGACCGAACCGGACCAGGCCTGTGTAAGCGTACCTCGTACGGTGTGTGTGTACCTCGTACGATGTGTGTGTACCTCGTACGGTGTGTGTGACATATTTATGTTTGGGGCTCTCTGGTTACCTGCCAGTCCTCCTGTGTAGAGCCCTCCATGACGAGCAGCGAACCGTGACTCAGAGGAATCCTGATGTGAGGACAAGAGCTGAAGTCTGAGGCCGCCTCCTGCAGAGAGGGGAGGGAGGAGGAGAGAGAAGAGAGAAAGGTGAGAGGTGAGGAGGAGGAAGGAGAGCCAACGAGAGAGAGGCCACCCTCATGTCAAAACACTCCCTTTAGAATCAGAATCAATTTATTGCCATTTGCAGAAAAAACTACATTGGAATACAAGCAGGAGACACCAACACCACAAAGCACACACACACAGACACAAAGAATAAAAATAGCGAGATGAGGCACATCACCTGGGGAGGTTTCTTCCTCAGCCTGAAGACCCGTGTGTCTCCCAGACTGATGGAGGCAATGGTCGGCCGAGGCCCCAGCGCTGCCTCGTCGTCGCTATGCCAACCAATACTGTCATGGCTGCTGCGATACAGGTTACACAGGACCGAGTTAAAAGAAAGGGAGAGGTCTGAGAGGAGGCGCGTGCGGAGGAGGAGGAGGTCCGGAGGCCACTGAGGAGAGAGGGGATAGAGAGAGTAGAGATTAAGAATAGAGGGGTGAGAAAGTGTGTCTGTTTGTGTCCACCTGAGTATGTGTGTGTGTCCGAGTGTGTACCTGTATGTGTGCGTCTGTGTGTACCTGTGTGTGTATTTGTGTACCTGTGTGTTCTCCTTCAGGGTGGACTGAGAGTAGGTGTAGGGCAGCTCTCCAAACCAGCAGGTCAGTCGCGGCTCCTCGTATGCTGCTCCTGACACAGAAAACACATGTGACCCACACACCATAGTGGCAGGTTTGGGACGCTCTGGATCGCCCTACACAAAAGCATGTTCCTGTTCCTGCCAAAATCCAGCAGCCTCACACAGTCACTAAAGGGGAGTGACCATCAGACCCTAGCAGAAACTGACCAGTCTAGACCCTCCAGAGAGTTGTGCAAGTTCTCCCACTTAAAAGATGAGGAAAGCCAGTAATTCTCATCATAGGTATACCTCAAGAGACAGAATGAGAAAACAACCAAGAAAATCTAATTTTTAAAGTGATTTTTTAAAAATGTATTCGCAAATTATGGTGGAAAATAAGTATTTGGTCTATAACAAAAGTTAATCTCAAAACTTTGTAATACTTTGTATTTTGGATGCAACTCTCCTCCAAACACGACGAGTTTTTACCAAAATGTTATATTTTGGTTTCATCTGACCGTGTGACATTCTCCCAATCCTCTTCTGGATCATCCAAATGCTCTCTAGAAAACTTCAGACGGCCCTGGACATGTACTGACTTACGTAGGTGACACATTTGGGCGGCACGGTGGCTGAGTGGATAGCACTGTCGCTTCTCAGCAAGAAGGTCCTGGGTTCGAATCCCCCCTACCACTAAAAACATGCACAATAGGTATGACTGTAAATGAGAGAGTGAATGGATGGTGTTGATTGGGAGCTAATGCACCAGTGTGTTTGGCGTCTCGCTTCCGTCATCACCAGTATGGAGAGATTGGAACAATAGCTGAACTCTGAACATTGTAAAAGGCTTTGGGTGACCTTGGTCTGTAAAATGGCCTACATAAATAACCATTACTTACATAAATTGCAAGGTTTGATTCCCTTAGTGTGTTACTTTGGTCCCAGCTCTCTGTAGGTCATTTACTAGGTCCCTCTGTGTGGTTGCGAGATTGAGGGATATTATCAGTGGTCTTGTATGTCTTCCATTTTATAATAATTGTTTCCACAATTTATTTCTTCTCACCAAGTTGCTGACCTATTGCAGATTCAGTCTTCCCAGCCTGGTGCAGGTCTACAATTGTGTCTCTGGTAGCTGTCAAAGGACAACAGGCTTGGCCATAGTGGAGTTTGGAGTGTGACTGTTTGAGGCTGTGGTCAGGTGTCTTTCATACTGAAAACGAGTTCAAACAGGTGCCATTAAAACAGGTAACAAGTGGAGGACACAGGAGCCTCTTAAAGAAGGAGTTACAGGTCTGTGAGAGACAGAAATCTGTTTGTTTGTAGGTGACCAAATACTTATATTCCAACATAATTTGCAAATTAATTATTTAAAATGTGATTTTCTGGATTTTTTCCTCATTCTGTCTCTCATAGTTGAGGTTAACCTATGATGAGGCCTCCCTCATTTAAGTGGGAGAACTTGCACAACTGGTGGCTGACTAAATACTTTTTTGCCCCACTGTAGATGGAAAATGCTAACCTGCAAGCTCAATGCTAACCTTCTAGCTCAATGAAGCCTAATATAGGGAAGGGATCACAGTGAAGTTTGGCTCCATCTCACTCTGGCTCCTATTGACTTACATGTAAAAGTAAATAACCGTTTGTGTCACACTCACAATTTTGGGCTTTAATCTGTGGATTTGCGCTCTCTGTGATCCTGGTGTTTACATAATCTAATATTGTCTTTGCAAATCCAGACATGAGCCTTATAAGGATTGACCAATCAGATGCCTTCATTCACAGGGGAAACTCCAGATGGCCTAAGCAACCGTTCAAGCAACACATCTGTGCCTAATAGGATGCATAGCCAATGGCCCCAGCTATCTTATGTTCAAATCGGCCTCTTTTGGATTAAGGCTAACACTATGGTGATGTCACACTCGGTCAGTCCATTCCTGATAGACCCTGGACTTCCTCTGGGGTTCTTCTGCATAAATAATCACATCTATTTTGGTCCTGATTTGTGTGAGAGGAAACGCAGCAGTGGGACTAATGTGGAAAATGTGACTGTGTTTAAATAAACAAAACAGAGAAGAGAACAGGACTAATGCAGCACTACTAAAGCAAGACTACAGAAGGTCTAAAGCAAGACTACAGAAGGTCTAAAGCAAGACTACAGAAGGTCTAAAGAAAGACTACAGAAGGTCTAAAGAAAGACTACAGAAAGTCTAAAGCACGTCTAAAGCAAGACTAAAGCAGGTCTAGGCAGGTCTAAAGCAGGTCTAAAACAAATCTAAAACAAATCTAAAACAGATCTAACCCAGCCTGTAGTTGGTCTTCTGGCTCCAGGGCAGCTCATGCAGTAGTTTTGAGAACAGCCAATCAGCTTCCTCCGTGGACAGGTAGTTGTAGATCAGACGCAGGCTGAAACAATTACATTTGCGACATTATCTTTCTTTGAGAGTTCTAAAGTAATATGTTGTGAACCAATCAGACCACAAAATGCAGTCCTCATCTTTTGTGTAGGAAAGAGCGCTGTAAGTCACTATTTGACTGTTTGGGCTGAGAGCTGACTGGCTGCTTGAGGGTGGTCCTCTCTTTTTCACTTTTGCTGTTCTAAAGATATGACCAAGGTAAAATAGAAAAATAATGTGAAAACTAGACCAAGACCAGGATCAACCCTTTAATTTACTTTACAGTACATCTATTTCTACTGCCATCTTCTTTTACGTACCCCAGCTTTAATGGATTCTATATTCTAATGGATACTATAGTAGCTAGTTGCAGTATTATAAACCTGTCCTGGACCTGGAGGCTCCTGAGGGCTCGGAGCTGATCTCAAACTCTCCGGAGGAACTGGAAACAGAGAACACAGTGTCATACACACTCCCACACATGAATCAGATGTAGTAACAACACTCTTACTCCAGGAGGCGCTCTGTTGGGATCTGTCTGAGTGGCTGAGAGACGGGGAAGCACAACAAGGAGTCAGACAGGGGAGAGCTAAAGACTTTATACAGTTTTATCCCCTAGTCCTCAAAAGTCTCCATCCCCCAGTCTTCCCGTGTGTTGTTGGTCTCTCTCTGGGGGGTCAGACCTCAGCAAGACGTTGGAACTCAAAACTCTTCTCTTCAGTCAGTTTCCTCTGAATTGCTCCGGCCCACGGCGCCCTCTGCTGAGTCTGCACTGGTACTGCACACACACAGTTAGCTCCACAAGTGAGTTGCTTGTGCGTTAAGCCTGGTGTGACTTACCTGCTGCTCCGGAGGCTGAGGGCTTCTGTTGAGCCCATGAGCCTTGCACTCGCGCTCTCTGTCGCTTGTCACTCATCTCACGCACTGAAAGGACCGAAAAGAACACCAGAGGAAAACCTCTTTATCCAGTTTTACAAGAATATTGTCACAATAATCAGACCTATTCACTTTAAGACTCGGGTGTACGCGTGTGAGAAGCTAAAAGATACTTTTATAATACATAATAAAAAAAGAGACAAGCGCGAGACCAGCGTCAGGTGTTTCATTTACACTGCAGGTATGACTGGTTTCACATTATTATATTTGAATCTAATATTAACCAAAAACACAAGATCAATGATTTATACACTCGCAGACTCCGAGATTAACTCAAACTGTCCGTCTGCGAATAAAACTGATCTAAATTGGACTTACGCGAAACTCAAGCACCACGCAGCCATTTTGGAGCCACAGAAAAATAAAACCGTATCAGAGGCGGAACACACGAGTCCATACTAAAGGTTCCGGGGAATAATACATTTTTCATATTTTACCATAAACTCATGCAATGTTAAAGTAAACCCAGAAATGATATGTTTTCAATGCTTCTGTAATGATTTATTGACACATTGAATCAATCACGTTCTAAAAGATCAGAATCATTTTTATTGCCATGTAAGTAACAGAAAGTCACAGACTAGGAAATTGCTTTGGCTCTTGATGCAAAGAAGAGAAGTAGATAAGATAATAGAGTAAGGCATAGTAAAAATCAGCATCATCATTGACAACACCTCCCACTGCACAGGACTGTATAGGAGCTGAGGAGCTCCTTCAGTGGAAGACTGAGGCACCCCAAGTGCAAGAAGGAGCACTACCGCTGGGACTTCATCCCCACTGCTGTCAGACTGTAGAATAAGTCAATTTAAGTCACTAATACACTAGAACTGAAAAAAGCCTGCACTGCTATAGCCACTCTTTCTTTTACTGACACTTTTTTATCATACATAATTATGTTCTGCACAAACTATGTTTGCACATTTCAGTCTTTTGTACTATCTCAGTGATTCTATCCATGCCAAATATGACTTGTAAATTTCTCAAGTAAGTGTGAGATCAATAAAGTCTTTCTTAAAATTATTACAATTTACTATATACAATATACAAGTGCACTTGGTGCACACAATATGTAGTAAGCAGTGCAGTGCAGTAAGGTGACAGCAGTAAAGTGACATTATGAAGGGCAGTAAAGTGGCTTTATAAAGGGCCCCTAAGTTGAGCGGGCTGACAGGTTGTGAAGTGTTCATGAGTTTGACAGCAGAGTTCTGGTTCAAATGGACCGTAGGGGAGAGGTTGGAACAGTCCATGTGCAGGGTGAGAGGGGTCGGTTGTGACCAGCCCGGCCTCGAGCTCAGGCGTTGTAGAGGTCCTGCAGCGATGGGAGGCTGCGGCCAATCACCCTCTCTGCAGAGCGCACGATGAACTGTAGTCTCTGCTTGTCCCTGACTGTGGCTCCAGCGATCAACACGGTAATGGAGGAGGTGATGAAGGAGGTGAGGATGGACTCGACGATGGCCATGTAGAACTGCACCAACATCTGTGCAGGCAGCTTGGCTTTCCTGAGATGCTGCAGGAAGTACATCCTCTGCTGGGCCTTCTTGATGATGGGGGAGTCCATTGGGGAGGGTGGGGGCGGGGGGACTGTGCTCTTCTTGAAGCCCACAATCATCTCCACTGTCTTCTGGGCGTTCAACTCTAGGTTGTTACCACTGCACCAGGACACCAGCCGATCCACCTCCCTCCTGTAGGCAGACTCATCGTTGTTGGAGATGAGACCAATGAGGGTGGTGTCATCCGTGAACTTGATGAGCTTCACGGAGTCGTGGCTGGAGGTGCAGTGGTTGGTGTACAGGGAGAAGAGCAGGGGAGATAGAACACAGTCCTGTGGGGCTCCTATATGTTGTGTTTGTGTTTTAATAATCCAAACGAGTTGTTCAGGGAGCTACTTTTATCTCGAGGTCATTACAGCACTGTCTCAATACAGGTTATCGTCATGCATATCAACAACGCCACCTAGTGGTAACCTCCAGTAATCTACTGATCATAACATCCCCCTTTCTTTGAAGATGAACAATGTGCTTTAAAATTAACAGTAACAAATGAAATATATGTAGCACAATATTTTTCTTGTTGTTAGCTCTATCTAGTATACAAACATAACATGGTACAACTACACAATCTTGAGAGCAACACGATATTTCAAACTTAAATAACAAAGATTAACATTCTGACTATTTATAACCCGTAACTTTAAGTTCAGTCGGTCAGGTTTCTTTATTTCCCGTGTGGACCTTCTGAGTTCGTGTTGCTCTGTATTGCTTGTACTATTGTTCACAAAGGGTGTAACAGGTGGTTCTGGGTGAGCATCACTGGACTCACATGCTGGTGGTGGAGTCTTCAGGAGACTGCGACGATCGCGTCGAAACACCTGTTCATTCTAAGTCCGCACTGTGAATGATCGTGGAGCCACTTCCTACAATACAACTCCTTTTGTGTTCCAACCACCTGCATCTTCAATCCTAACTGAGTCATTGCACATCAGAGGAGAAAGTGGTTTGGCTGAAACATCATAGAAAGTATTTTGTTTCTGTTTCTTCGTGACTCTGTTGTCACGCTTTGATGGTTTCTTATGAGCTTTACTCATTTAGCTAGGGAGAGTAGTACGCAGCTTTCTATTCATCAATAGTTCAGCTGGTTACAGGCCACACTCCAGTGGAGATGCACGATAACTGAAGTGCCAAATATGGATCAGAATTGCTGTCCAATGCCTTCTTTAACAGCTGCTTTAATATATGGACACCTTTCTCAGCTTGTCCATTTGACTGTGCGTAATGTGGACTTGAGGTCACATGACTGAACTCATAATGCTCAGCAAACGCATACCCTTTGAGCAGGTTAACTGCTCAAACAAATAAATAAACTAAACTAAACTAAACGCTTTAAATTCCCTGCTACTGAAACACGGCCCGTTATCACTCACTACCATGTGTGGTAGCCCATGCCTTGCAAATATGGATTTAATATGAGTGATTACACGACCGTGTTCTGGAGAGGGGTGATCGGGAAGAACGGCCCCCCTGATCTGAACCCGAGCGGTGTTCAGTTGTTGGACTTCTGTGCCAGTCACGGCCTGTCCATCACGAACACCATGTTCGAGCACAAGGGTGTCCACCAGTGCACGTGGCACCAGGACACCCTAGGCCGGAGGTCGATGATCGACTTTGTTGTCGTATCATCTGACCTTCGACCGCGTGTCTCGGACACTCGGGTGAAGAGAGGGGCGGAGCTGTCAACCGATCATCACCTGGTCGTGAGTTGGATCCGCTGGCAGGGCAGGAGGCCGGTCAGACTTGGCAGGCCCAAGCGTGTAGTGAGGGTTTGCTGGGAACGTCTCGCTGAGCCCCCTGTCAGACGGACTTTCAACTCACACCTCCGGGAGAGCTTCTCCCAGGTCCCGGCAGAGGAGGGGGACATCGAGTCCGAGTGGACCATGTTCTCTTCCTCTATCGCCAATGTGGCGGCTCGTAGCTGTGGTCGCAAGGTCTCTGGTGCTGGTCCCGGCGGCAATCCCCGAACCCGGTGGTGGACACCGGCAGTAAGGGATGCCGTCAGGCTGAAGAAGGAGTCCTATCGAGCCATGATGGTTCGTGGGACTCCTGAGGCAGCTGTCCAGTACCGGCAGGCCAAGCGTGCCGCGGCCCGGGCTGTTGCAGAGGCAAACACCCGGGACTGGGAGGAGTTCGGAGAGTCCATGGAGCATGACTATCGGTCGGCCTCGAAGAGGTTCTGGCAAACCGTCCGGCGCCTCAGGAGGGGGAAGCAGTTCTTTGCCAACACCATGTATGGTGCGGGTGGAGGGCTGCTGACCTCGGCTGGGGATATTGTCGGGCGATGGAAGGAATACTTCGAGGTTCTCCTCAATCCCCCCGTCACGTCCTCCGCCCAGGAGGCAGAGGCTGAGGATGTTGGGGCGGATACTTCCATCTCCCTGGCCGAGGTCACCAAGGTGGTTGGCAGCCTCCAGGGTGGCAAGGCGCCGGGAGTGGATGAGATCCGTCCTGACTATCTAAAGTCTCTGGATGTTGTAGGACTGTCTTGGCTGACACGTCTCTGCAACATCGCGTGGCGATCGGGGGCGGTGCCAATGGAGTGGCAGACCGGGGTGGTGGTCCCTCTCTACAAGAAGGGGGACCGGAGGGTGTGTTCCAATTATCGTGGGATCACACTCCTCAGCCTCCCCGGTAAGGTCTACTCCAAGGTACTGGAGAGGAGGCTACGTCCGATGGTCGAATCTCGGATTCAGGAGGAGCAGTGTGGTTTTCGTCCCGGTCGCGGAACACTGGACCAGCTCTATACTCTCCATCGGATACTCAGATTCAGATTCAGATTCATTTATTTGCCATTTGCAGTAAAACCACATTGGAAAACTGTGCAAGACTACCCCGGTGTGCGCCAGACAGAGAAGACGACACACACCAGAGCTCTTGCCACGGCGCCATCTTTACGGCGCCATGCGACAAACAGTAGAATAAACAGCAGAGAGCAATAACATACAGATTACACAGACAGTTGGATAGTGCTGTAATTTGTCAGAATTCCCCAGCCCCAGAAGCTGCAGAGAGGCCGCAAACACAGCCCTTCGTTCTGCAGGTCCTTTTAGTTCAACAAGAGACAAAAACCAATGTTAAAACAGTAATAGAAATGACAGATACCAAACCTGATTTCAAAAGGTTATGTTCAACAAGAGACAAAAACCAATGTTAAAACAGTAATAGAAATGACAGATACCAAACCTGATTTCAAAAGGTTATATTGAAGATTTTGCAAGCAATATTACAAGATAACGGTCCGCGAACAGGTCTCGCTTCGCGTTCAGATAAGGAGTGGCCCCGGGGACGTCTTTCACCCTCCTGGTCAGAAGAAAAAGAAAAAGCCCCCGTGCCTCCTCCTGTACATCTTTTATACTGTACACCCAAGGTCACTGACATCACAGATTCGTGGACTCTATGACTTCTTCTGGCCAGCTGCCAAAGCCTGCACCTGCTCTGATAACCACAGTGGTTTTTCTCTGGTCCCCCTCCCATTCTCACACAGACTAACCTTGAACTCACTGCTCTTTGAGATTTACACAAACAAGTGCTAATTTGGCAATAGAAACAATACTAAACTGTTTTTAGTTTTAACTGGTGCAAGAGTTAATATTCCAACAGTCCCCCTGTTGGCCGGAGAGGAACTCTTCGGACATCCATCACTCTCGTCTCAGATGGCCCATCTTCATCAGTTGATCCAGCATTACATCCTATACTCAGTCTAATCCCAGTCTTCACGACGATCTGTGAACTCCTAAACCACCCCATGTGACATTATGAAAAATGTGGTGGTCT